GTACAATGCCCAACATTAGTAATAAGACAAGGGAATGTGAGATTACCTAAGAAATTGGAGGGTACCTCACATTCCCTTCCAATATCTAAAAACTTAATGCGGAGGTTATCTGACATTCCTTAGAAAAATTACATAACCTGAACCAAACATAGAATCTTATATTGCCAAGCAAATGTAACCTAAACCAAACGCCCCCTAACAGTTATACACAAGTTAATGTTACCTATAGATGTGGAGTATGTTAGCTTATGGAGGTAGTGGTTCTATTATCGTTACACGAAAGTGTGTTAAGGGTGAAGTCAGTCATGTGACCATAGTCAGTAAATGATCACAATGATGTAAATCAATGTATATTGACCATAGTTGATCAACTTCAACCAAACATCCCCTAAGTATGCTAGGAGATCTCTATTATCTTTCAAATAATAGTTGAATGACTTTTAGATCAAATAATTTAAAAGATACGACCCTATCTAGACTTATTGGATCACACCTAATAAAATAATGTTAATAATAACCCTAACTCAAATACATATATCATGACTTCGTTGGATAGAAACTCTATGGGATACGCGTAGAAAACAGGTGGGTAGCTCAAGAAAACTGCTACCATTGTCAAAAACCTCCGTAATAATTCCTTAGTGTACTCATTGAGGTGACTAAATCACCCACTAATTGACTCATGGAAAGAAATTTGGAACTTGAATAATATATTTTTTTTAAAAATAATTAAAACCGTCAATAATTCAAAACCGCTAGTTGACGAAATTGTGATTTTACTTTCTTTTTTTGAATCTAATTCCAGCTATTTTTGAACCATAAAACACAATTAAAAGCTATAATCATTCACACCCCTAAAATTAGGTGGGATTATAATATGATTTGGCATTGTTATTTTATATTATATTGAAAGGCTTGCAAAATGTACTTGTTGCCAATCATTGAACAACTATAATATATTTTGCAAGCCTTTTAAATGTACTTGTTGTTAATCAAAGTTGTTATACCATGGATCAGAATCTACCTTGCAAGTTTCTAAATTTTGAAAACTTGTAAATACAATACAGGGTCTTCATAAATTGTGAATTTTAAAAAGTAATATAATTATGAATATTTAGTATGTAAATTGTGTATCTTTTAACTTGGGTCGACATAATAATTTGTTGTTAATCAATATTGGGCCTTACCTTACCCAAAAACAAGGTGAGGCACAATATTTCTTTAAAATATTTTATTATTATTATTATTTGAAATTGAGTATGAATTATATACATGAAAAAAAATAGTGAATTTTAATTGGAATGATATGACATATATATTAATTCAGTTTTAAGGGTAAGCGCAAGATTATTGGTGTTTGTTTTTTTATAAAAATTTTTGCAACTTTATGGAAAAAAAAAATGATCAGCAATTTTAAAAAATAAGTCATTCGTGATGCTCTAAAAGAATATTTCATTACCAAGTGGCTTGTAGTCCACTGGTATCAGATTGCTTTCCTATGTGGGAGGTTTAAGTTTCGAGTCTTAGTGTAGGTGTAGTTTGTATGAGTATCTCCTTCCTTTGTAATATAAAAAAAAAAAAAAAGAATATTTCATTAAAATTTTTAAATTGAACATCTTCTCATTCTACCAGTATGGGCGTATGGCTGACTTGCTTCGAAAATGCCTCACAATATTTAGTGGAGTGTTCATGATGGGTCAGCAAGTGGATATACCCCTTTTGATTTTTCGTGGTCAAACACACAGTGACACAAACCAACGTAAGTCACATGCGTTGCAATTTTTATTAAAATAAATTTTTTTTTTTTCTTTTGACCATCACATTTGTGGAAAAAATGAAAGCCGTCATTAAAATTAAATAATGTTACAAATTATTATATTTTTAAAATAAAGTTATTGAAAAACAGCTTATATTTGTTGTTTGCAATATTTTTTGTGAACAAAATAGTATGGATCTGTTTGGTAACATAGTTAGTTTATCAATTAATTTTGATTTATTTGATCATTATTAATGGTTTGACTTGGTTAAACAACTAATATAAGTGTTTGATTAATTAGCTTTTTGTAACAACTTTTGACTTGGTTAAACAACTAATATAAGTGTTTGATTAATTAGTTTTTTGTAACAATTTATTGCTCCAAAACACTAAAATTTTAAAAGTTGCTTAAAGCAATTTTTTCGATCAATTTTTTGAAAAAGTCATTTTACATGTAATTAGCTAACAGTTAACAATTAATTTACCAAACATCTTTATACAATCAGTTAATGCTATCAACTAATCAAAGTCATTAACTCAATCAGTTAACAACTATTTATCAAACACCTCTATATTTTTTAAATAAAAAGTCTCTGAATATATTTATAATTTTTTATAAGTTGTGTTAGTACTTATTCGTTAGTATCTGTTCGGCTGTTCCCCATACCACTAACCACTCATTTAGAATGATAATAGATATCATTACACTACATAGTAGTCTGTTAGCAATAATTCTATATTATTATTATTATTAGTAGTAGTAGTATTATTATGAAATATAGCATTTTTATATACGGCGTTGTTGTTTTTCTTATATATTTTAATAGAACTATATATATTCTAACATTGTATTCTTCCCCCATTATCTTGAGATTAAGCGTAACAAGCTAAGAAGTGTAATTAAACACCTTACCGTCCTACAACAAAGTCAATCTTCTAGAATTTACTTTAATTATTGTACTGAGAAATTAAATAGTTTGCAAATTGCAATGATTGTTCCGTGGATATGGTAAGGGAAAATGATTAGTACGTAATGCACTAATGCTAGTGGCATGATATTTTCTTTCAGTGCAATAGTTGATTTTTAAGGTGGAGGAGAAAAAAGAAATGAAGATTCTTTGGTTAATGTTAATTTTTTTTTTTTTTTTTTTTTTACTTTGAAAAAAAAAAAATAGTTGGTGCGTCAAGTCTAGAGGTATAAATGAGTCGAATTTTTGAGCTCGAGTTCGGTCAACACTCGACCGAGTCTGAGCTCGAACCTACATACCCATTGTTTATCGAGTTCGAGCTCAACTTGGTTCATTTACACCCCCTAATTAAGTGGCATGGTAACGATTTGTACTTTTTTTCATCTTTAATAATAATAATAATAATAATAATACTATTACTATTACTATTACTAGAAGATACCAGCTTTCATAGACAAGATAGAATATCCCTTATTCCGGCCATTTCATATTGCATTCAAAGTCCAAAAACCAATCTACTTAGTCAATGAATAAACAAATACAAGATGCATGCATATCAATTTGTATAATTATGTATATTATTCAATGAATAAATGGATGCAAGATCCATATCAATCTGCATAATTATATATATAATAAATGAATGCAACATATATGCATATCAAATTGCACAATTAATATAATACACTTGATTGCATATAATAACATTGGGACTTGCTACTTCATATATCCATATATATAATACTACAACTAACTCATCCTAAGGAAGTAAGGATCTGCCAAGACCTTGTGATTTAATAGCATCAAGGTTGGACTCTTATATGGAAGATTGTGGGTTCAAATTTTGGTGAAAGTGATATTGAATCTTTGTGTTTCATTAGGTTGAGAAAGTAGTTTAACATATATTTATTTTGCTAGTATAATTATCCTCGATAATCATTGCTTTCATGGATTTCTATTAATACTTATTATTTAATATATATATATATATATATATATATATATATATATATATATATATATATATATATATATATATATAATTGAAAAAAAATGAAATTTATTTACCACAAAAAAATGTATTTTATAAATTTAAAAAGAATCTCACTTTTCAGTTTTCAGTAAATTATATAATATTTTAGAAAATATGGTAATACACAAAACAAAAACAAATAGAAAAAAAAAAAACTATACGTGTTTTCAATTTTCCCTACTAATATTCTTTATTGGGAATTTCTCAAAAAAAAAAAAAAAATCTTTATTGAGAAGATTCAAACAATAATGAAGAAAATAAAATTTGTAGAATCTTGGGGAAGAAAAAGTTAAATGATTTTTTTTTTTTTTTTGAAAACTCGTTAAATGAATTTAAACACCCCTAATTGGTCAGTTAACTTTCATGCATGTGTAATTTGTGGATCGTTTCACATGAATAAATTCATTTAATACACACCTTTAGATGAATAAATTTATTTAATACACACCTTTAGATAGTGACTGCATGTTCCCTCGTCATACTAAAATAAAGTTATAATACTTTAGGGGGCGTTTAGTTCACAGAATGTTAAATTTCTGAGAATGTTATATTATTGTGTTTGGTTTAAAATTAAGGTATGTAAATAGGACAACTAACGGGGTAGGTAAATAAGACAACGGTAATAAGACAAATTGATTAAAATGTCAAAAGCCTAAAATTTAGTAATAATACAAAAGAATGTGAAATTATCGGAGTGTATTTAATATTCCCTTTCAATAGTTAAAAACTAAACGTGGAAATTATGTGACATTCTCAAAGAAAATTACATAACCTAAACCAAATAGAATAATCATATATTCTCAAGCAAATATAATCTTAGTTATCTTATATAACTTGAACCAAATACCCCAACAAAACAAGTTTTGGTAAAGTTCAGAGGAATAAAAGTAACAAGAATGAAGAAAAAGAAAATTTATATTATTGATAATTCAAGCTTACTTGGGTCAACCCAAATGTGTTAATGTTTTGAAAATGTTCTTCACAAGATTTGAAATGACAGTGTGAAAATTATATTCAAAGTAGATAAATTTTGTGTGCGGTACATTTGCTGAGTTATTGAGTTACTATAATTTATATTTTTTTAAATGTTGTTCAGTAATTTATATTTTTTTAAATGCTGAGCGTTTAGGATTGGGATTCAACCTTTGGGAGAAGAAGAATGTTTTGAAAATCTAATTTGACGTCTTGCAGGTGAACATCCATAACACTTTTTGGCTACGCCTGTCTTCTCACTTCGTTCTTCATTCAACCCACCATCTCTCATCTTCTCTTTGCCTTCCTTAGCAAGAAATTTCCCTATAAATCTTCTCCATCTTCCATATTCCTTCTTCATACAATCAGCTCTCATCTGATCTACTTTAATTAATTTCTCTGCAAAACTAAATGGAGAAGCCAACATCCACCGCCGCCGTTCCTCGTTGGACGCCGACCACATCCCCGCAGAGAAACCCCAATACAGATACCACGCCGGCACCGCCGCCGCCGAACACTCACGTTCCGCGGTGGACACCGACCCCTAGTCCAGCAAGGTCGCCACTCAGAGTTTCTGAAACTGAGAGTCTGCCGTCGGAAGATGATGATGATACGCCGTTCAACAATTCGAGAAAGAATTTCCCGTTTAGCTCTCCGGCGCCGCCGCACATTGGGGCGGTGGAAGCGCCGTCGCTTAGGGTGGATTATGGGTCGGAGATAAGGAGGACGCTTGAGGTGGAACAGCAAAGCGTGCCAAAATGGAAGGAGGAGAAGACTGGTGGATTATTTTCCGGTGATGGAATTTACTTGACCTGGAAAGACTTGTGGGTTACCGTGCCGGACAAAAAAGCCGGCCGCCGGCCTATCTTGCAAGGGCTCACCGGCTATGTCCAGCCCGGACAAGTCTTGGCCATTATGGGACCATCCGGTTGTGGAAAGTCAACTCTCCTCGATGCTTTAGCAGGTAAACAATAATGTATTATTTGTGTCGACATTATAATTATTAGGGAAAATCTTCTCCAAACAAAAAGTCAATTAAACTCTTATATTTTTAAAAGTTGTAATTAATGGCACGCATCAACATATCATTTTAATTTAATGTATCAAAATCTGAAAATCAATTAGTAACTTGTAATAATAAGGGTGTGTTTAGTTGGGGGGTTTTGCCTATAGGAATGGGTATAAAAGTGATTGTTGTTGTTTGGTTGATAGGTTTTTAGAACACTACTATGAGTTTCGAATACCCCCATCAATTGAAAAACTCAAATCCAAATAAAATAAAGGTTTCATTCCCTTATTCATTCTCAAGCACTACTATTAGTAACCATTCTCATTCCACCTACTACCAAACATTTTAAATACTTTCACCAAAACTCATTACCATTACCAAGTATTTGATACCCATTCCGATTTAGATTCCTATGTGCGATCCAAACACACCCTAAGTCTTTAAGATTCAGGTGATGTTCCCGAACAAAAATTGGTAAACAGCTGCCAGTTACCTTCCGCTATTAAAGAAGGCAACCGGCACTCCCCTCCTGACAGGGACGGAGCCAAAGGGTGACAGGGGGGGTCAAATGTCCCCCCTCACCCCACCCCCACCCCATATATAGTCTTTGTATGTATATATGTATATATAGTACATGTTTTAGTATTAGTATAAAAAAAAAAAAAAACTATAAAATGTTAACAAGAATGAGTTAGATTAGGTGGTAGAGCACATATTTGGTAATAGTGAAGTCAAGGGTTCAAATCTTGGCATCTCACTTAATTATAGGTCTAATTGATTTTTTTATATAAAATTCAGAGTGTATTTGATCATTTCCATCCCTAAATTATTATTGCTTGCAACACAAAGTTTGATGACCTCCATGAACAATTGCAGGGAGACTGGATTCCAACACCAGACAGGTGGGAGAAATCCTCATCAATGGCAGAAGGCAGGCGCTAGCTTTTGGAACCTCAGTAAGAAAACAAAACCATAATTCTCAATTCAAGCACCATATAAATATATTATCGAATCCTAACAACATTATATTAATTAATTATTTCCTGTTTTCTGGAATGAATTGAATTGAATCTGCATGCATGCAGGCTTACGTGACACAAGACGATACCCTGATGACAACCTTAACAGTACGAGAAGCGGTTTACTACTCCGCACAGCTCCAGCTTCCAGATTCCATGTCAAGAGCCCAGAAAAGAGAGCGAGCGGAAGCGACGATCAGAGAGATGGGACTGCAAGACGCCATGAACACCAGAATCGGAGGGTGGAGCGTTAAAGGGCTGAGCGGCGGACAGAAACGGAGAGTTAGCATTTGCATAGAGATTTTAACTCGCCCAAAGCTTCTGTTCCTGGACGAGCCCACCAGCGGGCTCGACAGCGCCGCCTCCTACCATGTGATGAATAACATCGTCAAGCTCGCCCAACAAGACGGGAGAACCGTCATTGCCTCCATTCATCAACCTAGTAGTGAGGTTTTCCAGCTTTTTAATAATCTCTGCCTGTTGTCTTCTGGGAGGACTGTCTATTTTGGCTCCATTTCCGCAGCAAATGAGGTATATATATTTAATTCTATTTTCCTTATAATATACAAACATGAATACATGATACAACCTCCCCACAAAGAGGCAAAGTTTCCTCTACGCATTGCCTCCTCAAAAACCACTCAAAAATCATTATTGTGGTTGTCCTAAGAACACATATATGATATAGGCTGTCGCAATAGTACAGTTACATCTAATATGGTGGGCTCATTGTGAGCACTATGTCCTCTCGTCTAATGAGTCAGTGAGTCACCGTGATTTATTCATTCACTTTCTTGTCAAGTCATGTGTGAAGGCCCGAGGGTAAGGGAATTTGGCCTTGTGACAAGGATAGTAGGTAAATCATAGTGACTCTTATTATCCATACATGGACCCTCCGCCATATTAGTATAATTCTCACACTGTAATTGCTTAGCTGACACTATGTCCTTGGCCCCTATAATCTAGCACCCAAAACTAATTAATTAAGCTATTTGTGTGAGCACAAACATGACAAAACTAATTGATCGATCTCTTTGTTTTGGCATATAGTTTTTTGCTTTGAATGGCTTCCCTTGTCCGCCCATGAGGAATCCCTCTGATCATTACCTCAGGACAATCAACAAGGACTTTGATGCAGTGAGTATACATAACTACATATATTCAATATACCGACCACTCGATCTATCAAATATATATTTGAGTAATATTACATGTACTTTGACAATAGGATATCGAGCAAGGACTTGGAGGAAAAGTAGTCACAGCTACCGAAGCCACCAACGTTCTGGTCAGGTCATACAAGTCATCAGAGACATGCCAACAAGTTCAACACCTTGTTCTTCAAATCTGCCAACAGGTATATATATTAATCTGACAACGAGTTCTCCATAAATTTCACTCTAAATTATATACTTAGGGGGTGTTTGGTAAATAACTGTTAGCTGATTGACTGATGAGTTTGACTAGTCGATAGTATTATTTGATATATTGTAAAAAGATGTTTGGTAAATGAGTTGTTAATTAGCTGATAGTTGATTACATGCAAAATAATTTTCTCAAATAACTGATCGAAAAATGTGCTTTGAATGGCTTTTTGAATTTTAGCGTTTTGGAACAATAAGCTATAATAAAAAGCTAATTAATCAAATACTTATATTGACTGTTTAACAAAATCAAATAGTCTTGGTCAAATAAGTTAAAATTGACTGATAAATTAATTATGTTACCAAACAGAGCGTTAATTGAATGAATTATATTGTTGTTTTTGCAGAAGAATAATGGTGGGTTGGTGGCAAAGAAGGGAAGTAGCCAAGCAGGGTTTATGACTCAGTGTATGGTTCTGACGAGAAGGTCATTCGTGAACATGTATCGAGACCTGGGATATTACTGGCTTCGATTTGCCATATATATTGCACTGTGCTTGTGTGTCGGGACTATCTTTTATGATATTGGACACGACTATGGCTCTATCCAAGTAATCTTTCTCAATTCGTTCTTAATTTAGAGCCGTTAAAATGGAGTTTGCCTGTTGAGTTAGCCCATCTCTCTTCATATATAAGTAAGAGTGGGTTTCTATTTTGGCTGCCTGCCAAATTGTAGGCCTCCTAACTTGCCTGCGGGCTTAGGAGGGCCGGGCCTGGCTTAACGGTTCTACTTTGTATGACCAATATTAGTTTTAATAGTACATACTTAATTGGTACAATTAAAATCGAAAATATTGAGTTTGTGGATTTGTTTGAACAGGCTAGAGGCTCCATGCTTATGTTTGTTGCTGCATTCTTGACCTTCATGGCTATTGGTGGATTCCCTTCTTTTGTTGAGGACATGAAAGTATGAACTTAACTTCAATTCGATATGGACTGTACTACAACCTTATAAATTTTATTTTGCTAGTGTTGTATGTGTTACTAATTTAGAATGTTTTGAAATTCAGATTTTCACTCGAGAAAGACTGAATGGTCACTATGGAGTGGGGGCATTTGTAGTGGGAAACACCTTGTCTTCAATCCCCTACTTAGCATTGATTTCTGTTGTCCCAGGAGCCATGGCATATTACCTCGTACACTTACAAAGTGAAATAGACCATTTCGTGTATTTTGCCCTCATGCTCTTCGCCACCATGATGTTGGTTGAGAGCCTAATGATGATTGTGGCAAGCGTGGTGCCGGATTTCCTCATGGGAATCATCACCGGCGCCGGAATACAGGGTGTCATGATGCTCAATGGCGGTTTCTTCCGGCTACCGGACGACCTCCCGAAGCCGTTCTGGAAGTACCCGATGTACTACATTGCCTTTCACAAGTATGCAAACCAAGGATTTTACAAGAACGAGTTTTTAGGGTTGACTTTCCCTAACATGCAAGTCGGAGGGTCGCCTATTCTCACCGGTGACGAGATTTTGAGGAACACTTGGCAAGTGGAGATGGGGTATTCTAAGTGGGTTGACGTTGCTATTGTGTTTGGAATGGTTGTTCTTTATCGGCTCATGTTCCTAGGAATCATTAAAACCGTCGAAAAAGTTAAGCCTATGATTAGAGCATTCCTTGCGAGTTCTAACAAAAATCCAACTCACTCCGAAGATTTATAATTAATTTGAAAGTATATATGACCAATGACATGTTGGTCCAAGTACTATATATAAGTCTTTTTGTTTCCTTAATTATTGAATAAGATCATGTAAATCAATATTTGCATGCGCTTTCATTGAGAGGTGTTTGGATTTTACTGAAAAGTTTGAAATATATACCCTTTTTTATTTTCTTCTTATGCATGCCGTCTTCTCACTAATTAATGTGTTTAATTAAAACATTCCAAAATTCAAGTATCTAACTTTTATTTTATTATATATACAGTTTTTTTTTTCTTGTAAAAAAAAAAAAAAAAAAAAAAAAACTACGTATGGAAGTTTTATTATAGTAAATGTTTAATACAAGGCGGAACATAATAAAGTTTTATTATGTATAAAGTTTATTGCTTATTTAATCATTTTCAAATAATAATAATAATAATAATAATAATAATAATAATAATAATAATAATAATAATAATAATAATAATAATAATGAAAAAAATCAATATAGTAATGCCACAATAAATATTATTCCAAAAGGCTGAACCTCAACCCTAAGGGCCCCCCACACCCCGGCCCAACAGAGCATTTGGGAGGATCACAATAAATATTATTGAGGGCGGTGGACGCTTAAGCTGGTGCATTAATTAGTTTGAGAATCTAAGCCCCTCACGTGTATTCAACACCGTGTTGTTTAATACTCATTTCGTCATATTTTATGTGTTTGATTCAGTTAACGAGTCTTGAATGAAGTTATTTTTTAATTTAATTTGTTATAATATTAATTTTAGTATTAGTATACAAAAGTTATATATTTAGAAATTACACTAAAAGTAATATTAAGCACAAAAATCAAATTTAAAAATAAATTAAAAAAATAAACAAAGAAGAAAGATGTGATTTAACTAATTAATAGTAAGTATGACATATAAAATGAACCATGGAGTAATATTTATTATTTGCTGGCTTTCAAAAAAATAAAAAAAATAGTAATTGAGAGAGACTCTCAGACTCCAATGAAATCCGGTTAAAATTTGATTAAATTACGTTATGTTCGGTATAGTTTATAGCTTATTTTAAGTAGTGTTTTAAAATAAACTATAGTAGTAACTACTAAATTTAAAACTTTCAGCTTTAAGTAGGTATGTCAAGCAGAGCCTTAGTCTAATTTTATCTTGCAAAAATGAAAAATCCTATAATAACGTAATATGAAAAAATATATAATAAAATTAGGGTAACATTACTGGCAAATTATTCTGTGGATCGTAGTCCACACAATGTGTAGACCATGTATACTAGGTACATTTTTAATATATTAAACGTACATTATTTTTGTATCGAAGATACATTATTTTATATAATATATCCTGAGTATATTAAAAATGTACCTTATGTATATAAATAATGTATCATTAGTATATTAAAAATGTACTTTTTATTTATTGTACACATAGTTGTGTGGACCATGGTACATGCAGTAATGATTGAACATTACTCTTCTATTACAAATGGATATTTGAAGAACTTGATTTTTGAGTAAATACCCAAAATGGTCCCTTGACTATATCTAAATTCACAAATTGGTCCTCGACTTTCAATTTCACCCAATTAAGTCCTTAACTTTGTAATTTTAACACAATTTGGTCCTCTGTCTATTTGACCGTTTGTTGACAATGATTTTTGAGGATATATATGTAATTTCATGGTCCATCGTCGATTTTTTAAGGTTCTAGTTGCATTTCCAGATCGCACTGTTACATTTGAATTCACTGCCGAAAGCAATCTATCAAATCTAGTCGCCTTTCTTCATCCTCTATTTGGATTCAATGTAATTGAGTTCGTACCAGAGCGAAGAAGACGACGTGTTTCCGAACCAGTGCAACGTCATTCTGGAGGCCTCCACGTACTCCGACGAAAGCTGAAGGTTCTTCTGGAGATCGCCGATCACGGTCAACAAACGGTCAAATAGATGGAGGACCAAATCGTGTCAAAATTTCAAAGTTAAGGACTTAATTGGTTGAAATTAAAAATCGAGGACCAATTTATAAATTTAGCTATAGTTGAGGGACCATTTTGTATATTTACTCTTGATTTTTACTAGAGTTTAACTTTTGTTTGAATAACATGAGTACGAAATTTGGGCATATGGCCCAAACTGAAATCATTTAAACCCAATAAAGGCCCATAAAATAGACCCATTAAGCCCAGATATCCTAATAGGGTGATATAAAAAGTCTTCTTAGCCAGATTCTAAACCCTAATAGACCAGAGTGCTGAGCGTGAGCTTCGATAGTGTTCTCTGCATCATCTTCGTTGCCTCCTCCGAGTACCGCAGCAGAAGATGAAGGTACCTCCCAATTTCTCTCATTGTCTAAGTAAACACTACATGTTCTGCGTATTTGTTCTAAATCGTTCTACTCTTCTTCTACGCTTTTGTAGTTCAACATCGCAAATCCGACCACTGGGTGCCAGAAGAAGCTTGAGATCGACGATGATCAGAAACTGTGCGTTTTACTTTTCTCATTTTTCAGTTTCACCATTACTGTGTTGTGTTGAGCTTCTGTTTTGATCTATTTTGTCCTTTTGAAATCTCTTGTTAGTTTTAGTTGATTCATGTCCAAACAAACTACCGTTCGGTTTTCTGTCTCGAAATTGCCAGCTCAAATGTGTTACAAGATGCTATATAATCTATTTGATGAAGACTGAGAAAAGGCTTATGCTATGAGGCAATGAAGAAGCTACTAATAGTTAAAATTTGGATATGTTACGCATTAGATCTTATCATTTGCAGTTCCAATTACGTATTCATTAGCCTTTTGAGCAATACTGGGACCCTAGGGTAATTCTGTTGGACTGTATGTATTTGTATCATTTACGTTCTGAAGCATGAAGCTTTTGTGTAGCTTTCCTTTTTTTTTTTTTGGGTTTATTATAAGATTTGAATTGGTTAGAACTATTGTGCTGCTTAATGAAGTCAGTTCTATGGCTTGTTCATATTATGTATTAATCAATTTCATTAATTATGTTTTAATCTTTGATACCTCATTGGTTCAGTGTTCTAGTGCTTTTTAATTTATAAGTGATGTGTGAGCATACACTTACATTAGAAGCTAGGGATGTGTCTAGTGGAGTATCTATTTGTATTTTGTATATTGAAATTAATCTTTATTCATTTTTCTGCTTTTTAGCCCTGTGCATATATTCTTGCATACAGTATTTACTGATTTACTGACTTTTGATACTAAAATTCAGCCGAGCCTTTTTTGACAAGAGGATTTCTCAGGAGGTCAGCGGTGATGCTTTGGGAGATGTAAGTGCATTTTATATTTTTATACGCAGTCTTACATGAATTACTACCTGAGCTTGTAATAAGTACTAAGTATGGCTTGTATTTTACAGGAGTTCAAGGGATACGTGTTTAAGATTATGGGAGGCTGTGACAAACAAGGTTTTCCCATGAAACAGGGAGTTTTGACTCCCGGCCGTGTTCGCCTTTTACTGCAGCGCGGTATGTGGACTCATTCTTATTAATGCTGTTTGATCTCTGTCCTTACCTGGTTGGAACTCTGATATTCTTAATCTGTAAACAGGTACCCCATGTTTCCGTGGGTATGGTAGGCGTAATGGTGAGCGCAGACGGAAGTCTGTTCGTGGATGCATTGTCAGTCAGGATCTCTCTGTTCTGAATCTGGTGATTGTGAAAAAGGGTGAGAGTGATCTTCCTGGCTTGACTGACATTGAGAAGCCAAGGATGAGAGGTCCCAAGAGGGCTTCAAAGATTAGGAAGCTTTTCAACCTCTCTAAAGACGATGATGTGAGGAAGTATGTCAACACCTACCGTCGTAATTTCACTACCAAATCCGGTAAGTAGTTTTCTTCAGCTGCCTCTCTTATACTTGAATGCACAGTAAGCTTGTGGATTATTCTGGAATCTCATTTAGTCTTGTGATTAAAACTATATTTTGTTGTGTGCTTGCAGGGAAGAAGGCAAGCAAGGCTCCTAAGATACAGAGGCTTGTGACCCCATTGACTCTCCAGAGGAAGAGAGCTCGAATTGCCCAAAAGAAGCAGAGGATTGCCAAGGCCAAGACTGAAGCTGCTGAATACCAGAAACTGCTTGCCTCTAGGTTGAAGGAGCAGAGGGAGAGGCGCAGTGAGAGTTTGGCCAAGAAGAGGACCAGACTCTCTACTGCCTCAAAGCCATCTGTTGCTGCTTAAGAGAGAGAATTCTGAATTTCTTAGTTCATATAATCATATTGCCCTTTTTGTTCTTTAATATCAAGGATTTTTGTCTTAGGAATTTTGGAGTTTATTCAACATTGTACTTCATACTATTATCCCAAGTTTGAAACAATGTTTTACTTTGTTTGAGATTGATATTCTAAATCAGTTTGGCACTCCCTGAATTTCCTTTTTCGCTAATTGTTTCTCTCATGGCTCTATTTTTTTTGGATTAGGGAATCCTATAATAACTATTCGAAGATATTTATTTGGTCAACCTTGTTTTGTGATGTTAGGTGGCAGAAGACTACTGTAAGAAGTTTGTTGGGTCAATCTAAGAAGATTAGTAAGTTATTTTCACTAAGAATCGAATTTGAGACTTGTGATTGTTATACTAATCTATCTTCTTATTTCTATTGTTTTTCTCCTTTTAGCTTTGGAAAATAAAAATAATGCTTTCTTTTTTTAAAAAAAAATTGGGTTTGATCTTGATGTCTATATTCGGTATGCACTGGTCCACATGTATGCAAAGTGTGGGAGCTTGGAGAAGTTGTTTATTCATCAAATGTGAATCATCACTGGCTCTGGAATTCAAGGTCTTATGATATTTAACAATTGTTTCTTTCAGTTACCGAACGAATGTTCTTCTGAAGTCATTTTGGAAGCACCCAATGTATTACATTGCATTCTACAAGCATACAAATCAAGGATTTTACAAGAATGAGGTTTTTCGAATTGACTTTCCCCAACATGCACGTTGGAGGATTGCCTACTCTCACCGGTTTGAGTAACACTTGACAAGTAAAGATGGGGTATTCTAAGTGGATTGACATTGATGTTGTGTTTGGAATGATTGTTCTTTATTAACTCATGTTCTTAGAAAGTATTAAAATAATCAAAAAAGTTAAGCCGATGTTAATCCAAGTACTAGATATAAATCTTTTTGTTTCCTTAATTATTGAACAAGATCATGTAAATCAATATTTGCATGTGCCCTTCGTTGAGAGTTGCTTGGATATTACACTGAAGTTTACAACTGTCAACTGCCCCCACTGTAGCTCCGTCCCTGTATATACATATATATATGTATTATATGTTTTTATATATTTATTGCCAAACAAAGAAATGTATTATATTTAAACGTATTATCATTACCAAATATTTTATTCAAATTATCATTTAGATTATAATGTTTGAACCAAACGCCCTCTAAATAATCATGGGTACTATTAACCGTAAAACCCTAGAATAAACGACGCCGTTCGGACTTCGGAAGGTTGCCATTCTGCGCTAGCGGTAGTATTCAAGCGCGTGCTTAACGTATTAGGCAAATCGAGTAGCCCCCAAACAGATCTGACTGAAGGAGATGGATGAAGAGGAGCACGAGGTGTACGGAGGAGAAATCCCCGTTGAAGGCGAATTGGAAGGAGATATGGAGGCTCACGGCGCCGATGTCGACATGTCCACCGCCGACGAAGATGCCGTTAAGGTCCACCCCTATCTCTTTGTATATAATACTGGATATACGAATTGAAAGAACAAATTACAGCTTGATCTGTTTCGATTACTTGCTTATCGATTTAGTTTGTGTGTGTGTGATTAATGTGCCTTACGGATTGGGAGCTGCAGGAATTGGACGAGATGAAGAAGCGACTAAAGGAGATGGAGGAAGAAGCGGCAGCTCTTCGGGAGATGCAAGCTAAAGTTGAGAAGGAGATGGGGGCTGTTCAAGGTGACACAGGTTCTCTTTTTTCTCTCTCCTAATTTTGAGCTCTCTTCTTGTGCTAATTTGATATTTTGGTTACTAATTACTTTTAGAGGATCTCAGTAAGCAAAAGGTCTTGAAAAAGAAAGGATAAATCTTCTGTGTAGAAATGGCTTTTCAAATAAGTTAGTAAAGAAGGCACATTTAGGCTAAGCCTTAATGTACTGAGACTTGCATATTTACATGCATGGGCATGTAACATTCAAGGATATAATAAGTGCTTGAGAACTGAGACATTACTGACTTTTTGTTCCACAAATTTAATGGAAACATTAATTATTTCATGGTTTATTTTCTTCTAACACTGAAGATTTTACTGAGAGATTGTTACTAATTTATGCGATCTTTGCTCACTTTGAAATTGCACCTCTGGAATTTCTTATTTGTCTTTTTTTCATTCTTTTCTAGTGAGTAATAAGATCTGTTTTGTTTTTCACTTTTTTCTTGCAGATCCTGCCAGTGCTGCTTCTCAGGCTAGCAAGGAGGAAGTTGATTCACGATCAATCTTTGTTGGCAATGTGATAACCAAAATTCCATTCTTTTAGCTTATAATCTCTTTTCTGGATAGATGAACTACTTGATCAATGGCGAATTCATTGCATCAAACTTCTTTTTAGATGTTACTTGTTTGTGTTATTTCTTTTTCTCAATAATTGCTCTACTTGATTTTGGTTTCAATTGATATTAGTGCCCTTAATATTAGTTTCCAAAGTGTTCTTTTCTGGGGACTCACATTCTTCTATATGCTTTTCACTTCATGCTTAACATTCTATGTTTTCCCTTAAAACATTTTTAATGCCCAAAAGTGAAAAATCTGTGTTGATTTTGGTGAGAAACAGGTAGATAGTTTCCATAATGCTTAGGTTGACCTTCTGGATGAACTACAAATGTAATTACTTTGGAACTTTTGATATCGATCTTACTTGCTGATTTTTGCTTCCAATGGCAAACTTATGATTGTTTAAGAATCACTGTCATGTCTGCTTTATGAATTATAGTTGTCTCACTGTGCAGTCTTTGTCTCACTTTTTGTCTCTGAAGCTTCTTGGAGACATGGTTTAACTTTATTTCACTATGATCGCAGGGATTCTTCCTTATTCCTGATTAGAGCCGGCTTTTTACCCTGTTTTTTGATGGTGGAAGGCAGTGGTTGTGGTTTTAGATGGGCTTGCATTTGTAGTGACTTTTGTATCTGTATGTTAGCTTTCAGAAAAAATGTTTAGTCCCCAAATTGGGAGAAAAAATCACATGAAGGAGAAAAAATGAATCAGTAAAAAACATTGTGAAAAAAAATATTGTAAGGCCCCATAGATTAAATAATTTTTGGAAGAAAAGTTTTGAAAGGAAGTTTAAAAGAATGAAAAAGAAAAGAGGAAAGTATTGGGGACCAAAAGAAAGAATACGTAATTATTTCTTCTGGAAAAAAGAGTATATGAGCTTAGAATACAAAAATATTTTGGGACATGAATGAATGTCATTTTGGTGTGACTTAGAGATCACATGCTATCATGCAAGAAGACTAATTCTTGTCATTAAATTGCAAAAGCCTAGTCCTTTCCATGCCAATGCTAGTTGCTGAGTCTGATTGCTGCTGGCAGCTGGTGGACATCAATATTCAGATGTGACTAGCCCTTAAGCCTGGTCTGGTGAGGTGTCACTACTTGCCTTTCACCCTTGTTCTGTGTTTCTTGCCCTGTCCTTGCCAGAAGCGTTGATGTTAAACCATTGAAGATGTGCTTTAGAACCTTGCTTTCTTTGGTAATTTGGGGGTGAGTTTATTTTGTATTAGGTGACCTTATATCACCTAATTCATCTAATTAGGCAGTGGTTTCCCTAGGGGAGTGGGGGTGTCTTTTGGTAAGTGCTGAGTTTTTTACATGAGAATTGTTTGAGGAAATACATGTAGGTCATACTACAGGAGTGATTACTGACTGAAAAATGTACAGAAAAACAATGTGTCAACTAATAAAGGCTGGGTTTATTTACCATCCAGATTTTGTTTCTCCTTAGAAGTTTGTTAGTTTCTATTTCCCATGAGCAATCACTTTTTGTGTTCACATACTGCTTCCTTTGCCTGTTTTTCACCCAATTTTATCGCAACAGGTTGATTATGCATGCACACCGGAGGAAGTTCAACAACACTTCCAGCCATGTGGTACCGTGAACCGAGTTACTATTCTGACTGATAAGTTTGGTCAGCCTAAAGGCTTTGCATATGTGGAGTTTGTTGAACAAGAAGCTATTCAGGAGGCACTCCAGTTGAATGAATCTGAACTGCATGGGCGCCAGTTGAAGGTAATTTCTGTCATCTGAACTGTCAACACCACCCCATCCCCCTCAAGTAGTGGGGTGGGCATTTTGAGGTTCCGAATCCAAGAGAAATTTTGGGATTGACCAAAAATGATTCAAACGCACTATTACACATTTCTTTTGACCGATGAACTTTTTATTCTTAGGTTATGCCCAAGAGGACCAATGTTCCAGGAATGAAGCAATTCCGCCCAAGGCGTTTCAATCCTTATATGGGATACAGGTTCAGGAGGCCTTATGTCCCCCCATACTTCTATTCCCCATATGGATATGGGTGAGTTTTCCATTCCCCATTTTACCCTTTACGCCAATGCTCCGTACAACTCCATACTATGTGTAACCTCATACTATAAATCTGCATGATGCAGGAAGGTTCCAAGGTTCAGGAGGGCATCACCATATACACCTTATTAAAGATGTGTGGCTGTTAAAAGTATGATGAAGCAGATGCTACAAGCATAAACACATGGAGTTCTTTGTCCACCCTCCCCCCGCCCCCGCCCCCGCTTTCCCCCCATGTACCATGAGGCTTATTTTAGATACATTGACAATCTGTTTCCTTCCTTCATCCACTACTCTCTCAAGAACAGTTCATGTACTAAACATTTTAATGAGATTCTGTTGCTTGGAACTTTACTTATAGTATGAACACTATTATACTTATCAGTTCGTGTTAATTGTGTAGAGTTTGTATAGACGGTTATGTATTTCAAAGAATATTGTACAAGATATTAGATATATATAGCCTCAGGTTATTTCTTTGCATAATTTAAAGGAATAAAGGTTAAATTAGCCAAGAATTATATGTGACCCTGATCTGATACAATCTTGTTTTCCATGCTCTATTCATTAGTCCTTGGCACACTTTAATCATATTCAGGTAGGCTATGAATACATTGAGCCACTTTCTTATTAGACGGGTAATTGGGGAACTCGTACTATGCTTATTGCCCCAGCCGAGATGAATGACTTACTTCTTGCGGATGCCAACAACTCGCCTTCGCTTCGGATTAGATAGTCCCCTCAGATGAGGGTTGCAAATGTACCAATTTTTATTTTTTATTTTTTATTGTAATACTATTAAGTTAAAAGGCTTATTACATCCTTATATCAAAAGAAAAGCACAAATTATGCTTATTTTAGTTGTGTTGTGTACCACACTAAACGACGTCGTCTGCGGGCTTATAGAAGAAATTAAAAGTTAAAACCAGGCGGCTCGCGCTGAAGTGACAAGAAGTGAAGAAACAATGGAAGTTATGGAAGGGCTAAAGAAGTTGCAGAAGCTACAAAGCATGATGGAGATGATGCAGTCGTTAGGAATCATCATCAGTTCTTCCAGCGACGATGATTCCACCTCCCTTCGCTTTCTTGCTAACCTCGCCCTCTTTGTGGTAACGGTTTATCTCTTGGTAGTTTCTTCCATTTTAGATTTTATGTTTCATTTGATGCATTTTACCTCATTCATATTATTCTCCTGTACAATCATCCCATGACAAGGTACAAGAATGCTGCGAGCTTGACATTGATACGAAGTGCCATCTCATTCGTGAGCACTTTCCAAAGGTTTGAGATGTTGATTAGGTTCTGGATTTCTTATGTGTTCATTATTTATTACAGAGTAATTGGAGACGATGAAACTGCTAGTTTTTGTTTATTTGACAGTTCTCGCCTTCCTTCTTTGTGCAAGCATCAAAATGTGTCTCTAGGGGAGGTTCATTTCAGAAGCCAGAGACTCAAGATGGTTTGTTTAATTTAATTGCTGATGAAAAAGTTCTCTTTATTGCTTTGCACTTATTTTTTGAACTTTGTGATTGATAGATTTTTTAGTGTTTTTTTGGGTGACGAGGAAAACTTGTTGCCACTGTCCAATGGTGTGCACGGGTAAACACGGACCACAATGAGGTAAACCAGCTTAGGGTGCATAGTTGATCGATTCAAACCAAGAAGGCCAATTGGTCGCTCCCGTTGGGAGTCAAACTTGTAAAACTTGCAGCATTTATGTAAATATGAACTTATAAAGATTTGGTAAATTCTTCTCTTTGAGATATTTGCTTAATAAAATAGTCCTCCGTCCCAAAAATGATTTGTCTTATTTACGGTAGACATTGATTTTTAGGGGAGTTGGTTTGATGTACATACCTTTCTTGTTTGCCCAGAAATTGTAGAATTCTTTATAGTGTTTATTTTAGGAATGCGGATAACATTATGAAAGTACTAAAATCAAAATGTGGACTACCTTTTTGGTATTTCACAGTTTCACTGCAAGATGTTGCACTTTGCATGAGTTTGATAGGTTCACTTGAAGTGGCCCTAGTAATATCTGATTTTGTTGCAGGCAATGAAGAAATCCAAAATACTAGCCTACTTTGCCGTGATGATAAGGCAGGCCTTGGTCAAAAACAAATGGATTATGAAGATGTTGCTCTAATCAGTCTGGATTCTATGCAACGAGCTAATTCTACCTTAGAAGACTTTGTAAGTATACTCTAGTGTATTGCACTAGATAATATTTACTCCCTTTTCACTACCTAGTATTTAATTCTTCCCGATAGTATTCCAAAATTGTATTGAGATGATTCAATTTGTTTATACTGAACTTGTTGGTGAGTTGTCAGCTACAAAAGGCATGAATTGTGACCTTGTTTGACACTTATCAGTGCAGGTCATACTTTATGTTTCACAAAATGGATGCACACCAGCCTGAGTCGATATTCAGATACCTGCCAATTCTTTCATTTACTGAAAGTTTTATCTATCAGGTAATTCTTCCAATAAGCTAAATTACATCTTTATTGAACACTTTATGTTCTCATCATATGAGAATAAGATGGAGAATTTATAACTCTCTTTGTACCACAAGCTCATCCAAGAATATTTTGATTCCCTAGCAAGACGTGGATTTTTGCTTCATTCTCACCATGATCCTTTCCTGGCCTATACTTGTTCATGGCATTGCACCTTTCTACCATAAATACCAAACAATTGGCAAAGCAAAACACTTCATTTAATATTTGTAAATCTGTTGGGTCCTGCAATGCAGTTGGATAGCTTAAATGAAAAGCTTCTGCAGCCACCAAAGGAGAACACCGTTTTATACAACAAATCTTGTAGGGTAATACAAACAACCCATGTCCACCTTTTAAGAATATTTTAATTGTAAATTGCCAATTTTTCCCCTTTGATTTTTACTGAAGTGCAGGGAGCTGATCAAAGCTTGGCTTTTAAATCTGTCAACATGAAAGCTGATCCATTTAGTCCATTGGTTGTCATGCTTGAGTCTTCTGGGCTTTTGACAGATAGGTCAAACTTTTCTTACCATTCTGTCTTCCATTTCTATCCTTTTTAGGGTGGGTAAAATGGTTTATTTCATTAGGCTTCTGAAATCTGTGTTATATTTGGGTTACCATTTCCAGGATTAATGAAGAATTTAAGAGTGGAATTGAGTATTGGTCCTTGGAAAGAAAGCTATGCTATGCCCTTTCAAGCAAAATGGAGGTGTGCAAATATTCGACTATTCTACTGAATTGAACACTGAACACTGTTTACGTTAATGTTTTTAATCAAAGATACCCTCATAGATATCACTTAAGGATGTGATGCAAGCTATTCGACTGAAGTCCTTTGATTACCGAGTGCTGAATCTTCTGTTGTACCAACTACAAGGTGAAAAGGTATATCTTTCCATTTACCAAACCCACTGGCCACTGCATCACCTTTTATGTGAGGCAATCTGCTATATTTAATAAGAACTTTCATTGAGATAGTTCTTCTTTGAAGCTGTTTTCTAGGTGAATGAATTGCATATGGAATTCTTGTCAATTTCAGAGTTCCTTGTGGAGATATCTGATGATCTGTAAGTATTCTACTAAGGACATAAGTAAAATGTTCTATTTACTTTCAAGTAATGTAAAATTCATTGAAAGTGATGAATTGAAGAAATGATATATGTTTTCTTATGTTCATAATCACTATTTCTTGGTGAATTTAAATGCATGTGTAAAACACCAATTTGAATGGTCTCTTTGATGAATGAGTGGATGATGTTCCAGGTTTGACTACGAGGTTAGTTGTTGTATTTTTCCTAGTTTTTGGTAAGCTCAAGGTGAAGTGTATAACTAGGTAAGATAATGTTTTGTTTTGTCTCTGTAGGATGATGTATTGAATAACAATTTCAATATATTGCGGATGTTTGGCAGAATATATGGACCTTCGGCTGCACCAGTCATCCTGGTAAGAATATGTTGTTGTTGAGTCCCGAATACGAGCTTCAGATTAGGTCCTTTAGAATCAACTTAATAAATATTTCTCTATCTTTGAACACTCTATAAGCTTTTGTTGTCTCTTATAGACTTTCCAACTACCCGAGTTAACAGGCACAGTGCATAACAGAAGCAGAAGGGAAGTATGATAGTCTTTTGAAAGCTCTTGACCCCGAATTATCTGTTAGCCATCAGAGAAGATGTGAAGAAGCTACTAAAGAAGGTATATGTCATTATGTTTCCCCTTAATGATCGTCTCTCTTTGGTATAAGCTGCAAAATCATTGCAAACAATATGTCTTAAAGCTTTTGTTCCCAAATTACTTGGTTCCTTAATTTAAATGTTCCTCTGTTTAGGTGGGAAGACATGTGGTCCTTCTCTCGGGACATGGTGCATACCTCCTATCATTGCAGACGAGGATCTATACCGGTCTAAAGTTTTGAGGTCCGATCCAAGCTAAGCCATAAGCTAGGGAGCAACCAAATCAGATGAGATGTCAGACCGAAACCAACTTGCAGAACTCACAAAAGATGGAGCTTAGGTTGTTCAACGTATACAATGAATATAATGAACATACAATGTATGTTCAATGTCTCAATTAATCAAGTTTTCACTTTCTTCTACCTTGCCAACACGTTTTTTTTACTCGAAACAATGGAAAGAGCATTCATAAGCATCTACAGTAGCATTCAAATCATCATAAAATCACATTTCCATGTCCTCGATTTGCTGATCGTCTTCCCAGAACCCATCTGATATCTCTTTGTAGTCATCATCCGTGTCGCAAGCCACAAAGTCCTATGGCAGATAGCCAGATGAAGCCGAAAAATCAGAGCATTTGTCCTGGCCAAGGCAAATATTTTTTATTGCTAGTTACCGAGTCTAAGGGACTCTAAATGTGAAAAGACAGCAATTCAATGTTTTCTCAGTTGCAAAAAAACAGCATGTTCTTCTAGTACAGACTGTATTTCTAAATAAAGTTCCATGTTAATGCAGACCACTACTATGTTCAAAGTTATATTTCAAACTGTGATTGTTATGATATGTCCTAACTAATGAAACATAACAACAATATTCAGATTGCTGTTCCATTTACTCCACTGGTTATCATGCTTGAGTCTTCTGGGCTTTTGACAGATAGATATACCATTTTGTGTTTCATTTTGTGAAAAGGTATATTATCAACTACTAGGTGAAAAGGTATATTTTTCCATTGTTCCATTGACCAAACCCACTGCATCACCTCTGGCAAATTATGTTGTGGACCCGGGACCAAAGCAGCATCGTTTTGCTTCAAAATGATGCCATCTGAATTTTAAAAAAATTACACTCTATATTTACAATTTCATAACTCAATATTTACAATTATAGAACTATACATTCACAATTACATAACTCTATATTAACAATTTTTTAACTCTATAATCACAATTTCATAATTCAATATTCACAATTATAGAACTCTATATTCACAATTTTTGAATTCTATATTCACAAGTATAGTATAACACAATTTTTGAATATCATTAGCTGAGGAAATAGTGCCACTAACATTACCGTTATTCCAGACGCGCAAAGCTACGTCGTTTTGGACCTAAGTCCACATTGCAAGGTGGACCCGGGTCCATGGCATAACAATTGATCACCTATATACTCATACCCTATAATCCTATATTACATATTTGTTGCTATGAATAACAAATTTCTTTGAGATAGTTAAAAAAAAAAAAAAAAAAAAAAAAAAAAAAAAACTGTTTTCAAGGTAAATGAATTGCATATGGAATTCTGGTCAATTTTGTTAGAATTTTAACATAAAATGGTATTTAAGTGGCTATTTTGTGGTACAAATATATGTGAGATTCATTTTCAATTTGGATCGGGTCAAAGTAGATTCACATTTTTCGTAGTAAGACGAAGAGATTGATATATTATACGCTCAAAACGGATAATAGGTGAATGATAAATTGATTCTTTAAACTCATTTAAGTTGTAAATCGAGGTGAAAAGACTTTGTAAAAGCACTTGTCCCACATTGGTTTGAGGTGAGTTTGCATCACTATATATACAAGAGCGCTGAAAATATGTAATGCAGATATGTAACACAATATCTAAAATAACTTCTGAAAATATGTAATGCAGATATGCAACACAATATCTAAAACAACTTTTTCAGATAAGTTTCCTTGTATCGTCTTTCAAATAATCTTTTATAGCACCTTTCAGAATAATATCCTTTGATGGTTTTATTAGGACCGAGTCCACCATAAATCGGGTACAAGAGTACAGAACGGGGGGTCGTGTATAGAAGCCCGAGGTACAGGCCCAAGAACCGCTACCCAAAATACAAAGAACAAGGCCAACAGGATGGGCTATTCTTGGAATTGAACCCAGGTGACTGAATTGAGAGTATGAGATCAAGACCACTGGACTAGTGTGCCTATCGTGTTTGAGTTGCCCCTTAGCTAAGGATCTAGGACCCCTATTTATAGCATACCCCCCCTCCTTCTTTGGCGTCCACATGTCCCACATTGCCACTCCCCACTCCACTTGCTTGTCGCCATTTACGTCACGTTCTCCACCTTTCTCGGATCCTATCGCCTTTGCCACCTTGCTCACACCACTCCCTGACTCACCATGCTCGGCGCACCCGCCCCCTTGCATGCGGATGCCGCCCGAGGCCGACACCCTGGGGCGCCGGGACCGCGGCCGCACAGGGCCGCGCACCGGATGCAACGGGTGCGCCACGGCCGGCCAGGGCCAACGCGCCCCGGCCGACTCCTCCCTCGGTCACCAGCGCCGGCCCAGCGCGCCGGGCGCCAAGGCCGCGCTGGCCCGCGCCCCGGGCGCGCGGTGGCCGGGCCGGGGCCAGCGCCCCGGTCGGCGTCCCTGTCCGACCACCGGCGCCGGCCCCCAGCGCGACGGGTGCCAAGGCCGCGCTGGCCCGCGCCCAGCGCGCGCTGGGCGCGCCGTGGCCGACCGGGGCCAGCGCCCCGGTCGGCGTTCCTGTCCGGCCGCCGACGCCGGGCAGCGCCGGCGGCCCCTCCTGACTTCCGGCCCAATCTCTTCGCCTCCCCCTGTCGACCCAATTACATAGGCCCTCTGCGTCCATGGCCCACCTCCAATATCCCCATCACTCTTCATTACAAAATGCCTATTTATAGCATTTTATTTTCCTTTGTTAGTGCAATTGCAACATTCCCACTAATCCACTATTTAATTTTCATTTGCCCACTTCCACATACACCATACGTACACATGCCATGCTTCCATTTCCTTGATTTACACCACACATGCACAGACGGACATATTCATGCACTCATACTACAAATTGATTCCTAATTTCAAGCATGACCATATCTAATTTGTTTGATTTAATACCAAGCAACCAAGTACAAACAAATATATAATATCTAATTTGTTTGATTTAATGCCAACAAACCAAGTACAAACAAATATATATACATACATAGACTAATTTTCTGGTGCATACTATTATTACTGTGTGAACTTGTGGATTAATGTGGTGCACTGATGCGGATAATCTGGCTCACAAAAAAAATGCACTGTACTCATCCAAACCTACTTAAATGGGGCGCGGTGCACCGGTTCGTCATGCACACTACTTTCACTAATTTATGGCCATCGATCAGCCTAAATGCACAGCCAGATCAAGTCCATACGTGCACACAATAACTTAAGTTTGCACCAGAACTTTATTCTATATATATATATATATATATATATATGGTACAGTACTAACAAGAGCCTTTTAGCATTTTAAATTGTATAGTATAAAGAATTTGTAAAATGTTCAATTTAAAGTCATGTAATATGTAATATTATTCGGTATGGGTGGCTTGAGAGGGCCCTGATGAGAAGAGCAGAGCCATGACTTGGCTCACACTTAACAAAAAGTGTACATTTTTAACATGCCACCCTGTTTTCTTTTTTATATTCATAATCATTGAAACTTGGTAAGATAATATTTTGTTTATGTGACTTTATATTGTTTTATATAAGCTACCAAATATCACAAATCTTATTATTCCTTGTTCTTAATGTAAATGTTCATTCATCTTTTAGGTGGGAAGACATGTGGTCCTACGGAACTTAAATTGCTTGAATATTCGAATTTTTTGAATGGTTACAGTAGTTTCTTAGGGAGTATTTATACTCCTTCCACCTCCTCAATGGATGGTGGAGATCTACTTTAATATAATGGCTAGAAACCCCTATATAGAACCTTTTCTAAAAATCTCTACAATTCTATGGATTCTACAAAATTCTAGAATATTTTATGAATTTCTAAAATATTAGTGTTACGTACAAGCTTCTAGAAAATTCTACAACCGATAGAAAAATTATGTATTAGTATGAAAAATGTCTAAAATGATGTTGCAAACCTCATAAAAGTGTAGCAAAGTGGCACATGCAATATATTAGGTTGTCTAGCCAATGTAAAGAGGTGCTAACATGTGTCAAAATCTTATCAGTTTGGTGATTTTATGCCAAGTCTAGTTAATAAAACCATTAGATTATCAAAGGAAAACCAAACCACATCATCATAAACTGGCATGCTTTATGAGTTTATGGTTCTTTGTGATCAGACCATATGCTTTTTGACAAATCCATGGAACATAAAACATGATGTTTTTCAGCTATTTGAGGGCCCAGTTTGATTTTCAATTCCAGCTTTCAGTTCACTCTTCTGCTTTGTCTGCTCTCTTTTGGTAGTGTGAGAGGAAAGCAATACCTCTTTGAAACCTCTCTTCCACTATCTAAGAAGCTTTGTTACGTGCTGTCATTGGACTTAGGCACTTTTAAATTCGTACCATATTCCACTAATTCCCGCTCGTATTGGGTCGGTCTAAATAAGGAACAAAGTGCTGGTCAGATTGATTTTTTTATACAAGAGGAAGTTCGAATTCCCGACCTCTCTTAAGGGACAAGAGTGCACGACCACTCACAGCCCTCCCACGAGATCATCCCGACGATTGCTCGTGACACAAACAATGTAGTAGTTAGAAGGCTTTATTAACCCCCGAGGGCCTCGGCCCCTTCCCTCCATCAAAAAATATAAGTTATGTAGGTTTCAAAAAAAAAAAAAAAAAAACACTTTCCCATTCTTTTACCATTCCAACACTTTTTCTCAAAACAATGAAAGAACGTCTCAATTAATTGAATCTCAAACTTAAGATCGTTAAGGGCTCCTTGCTTTAAAACTCGTAAATGAAATAAATTACGAGATGTGCCTTAACTGGTTCAATAGGCTCCCAAATATTTGTATATTAGTACTCACAACAAGGTCATATTTATGCCATTGCCGCCGTTGTAAACTTATTCTGAGTTGGTTAACTGGTTAAGCTATACCCAGCAAGGTTATAATAGCTAAATATAACACAAGGAATCAAAGAGTAACCAATAAAAGAAAAAACAGGTGAGATGCAACAGTGATAGTATGATAGAATCTTTATTCATATCATCAGCAAAGTACACACTAACTCAAACAAGGGATTTGCTTCTTTTTTCCCCCTTAGAGATGAGGAAAGTGGAGAGAAAATATTGCATACACAATATAACTAGTAGAGAGCCTTTGAACTAGAAAACAACATTCACAAGCAAACCTCAAGGAGACTGTGGCCAGTCATACCCAGAATCTACAGCGTTCAAGTCATCGTAAAACCACATTTCCACGTCCTCGATGTGCTGATCGTCTTCCCAGAACCCATCCGACATCTCGTCGTAGTCATCATCCATGTCGCCAGCTACAAAGTCCCACGGCAAATACCCAGACGAAGCCGAGAAATCAGAGCAGTTGTCCAGGCCATTCATATCGTAGCAGTCCACAACAACCGGCCCGATAACTTTTAGCCCCGGGAACTTCTTCAAGAAGCTCTCGTCAAGGCTCACGTTCCAACAGCCACGCACATCCAGTAATTCGAGATGCCCGCAACTCTGGAGGATCTCGAGTATGCTCGTCGTGCCAACGAGCATGTATGCAATCTCGAGCTGCTTGAGCTTTGGCATCGTGGAAGCAATTGCGGATGCCTCGTTATCTTGGGAGACCTTGCCAATCACCTGTAAGGGGTGCATGGTTCGCCGCAAACCCGTGAGAAATTTGCACTGCGTCCCGATTGCTTCTAGCGCCCTCGCCCCCATTTGTGTGCAGTAGCTGATATCTAAGAACGTAACGTTTTTCAACATTCCCGCAACCTGCTCTACTATGGAATCACTGATTTCGCTCTTTGGCAACCTCAATGTCTGTAGAGATTTGGCACTTGCAACCAAAACACAATTATATCGTCAACTAAAACGCCAATATAACATGCCAAGGCAAATACTTTTCATTGCTAGTTACCGGGATTATGCATTTAGAATCGCTAAATCAAGAAATAATGTCAATTTCTAAATAAAGTTACACCTTTTTACAATCAGCTAATGTTATACCCTCTAATTAACTCAATCAGCTAACAGCTAACAGTTATCAATTATCAGCTAACAGCCATTTACCAAACAGGACCAATGTCAATTTATAAATAAAGTTTCACGTTTATGTAGTCCAAAGTTATATTTCAAATTGAGATTGTTATGATACGTCCTAACTAACGAAACATAACAGCAAGACTTCGAGCATACTCACTTATTTGCAATAAACGTAAAGCTCGAATCGTTAGGGACACCAGAAACACAGAGCTTACGAAGTGACCCACAGCTTCTTTTAATCAGCAATTGAAGCATACGATCAATCTTTTCGGGCCAACAGTTTCTGCTCCATTCCTCAATATCTATCTCTTGCCAACAATACGGCCCCAGAACCGCAATTTGCCACGATTTGCAAACCCTTGGCACTACAGTAAGCACCTCCTGCAGTGAAAGGTTCTTGAAAACTAGGCCAAGCGTGTCCGGTAGTAACTCATCCCACCGTCGAACATCACATCCCTCGCCCATTTTAACTCCTCCCTTTCTGCCAAAACAGAGATACATTCAGATCAAGAACTCAATAGAACACCCTTTATTTAACTTCTTAGTTTCCAATCTTTTTAAAGCCCTGTAATTGACAGTTCAATCAAGATTTTCAATCAGGATTGCTATAAACTTCTATCTTATCACAACTCCATCTTTTCCTAACATGCTAAACCAGATTCAGGTGCAATTTTTAAGCAACTTACAGAGAGAAAAAGTAATGATTTTCACAAAAACTGACAGAAAATGATGAACTGTGGAGAAATATTAAAGAAAAGGACTATATCTATATGCCACCATCTGTAAACACACATCAAATACAAGTATCAAAGGATTCAAAGCCACTATCTTTACACAAATATGTTCAATACAGACAAATCAAACCCCAAACACTGTATTAAGGCATAAAAAATGGGTACAGTGAATGAAAGTTAGCTTCATGGATCCAAAATACCCAGCTGAGAGAGAAGCTAAATCCTAGACATAAACCAAACCTAGCTCCACAGCACAAAATGGAAAGTCTTCAAGAAAACCCAAGTAAATTTTGCACAAAATTTTGCATTTTGAGGCATGTTTCAGCTCAACCCAAGAAATGTAAGGACTACTATTATTTTCAGGTTGGCGTAAACCCAAGAAATGTCCAAAACGGAACCCTGTGTCAGAAAAAAGGAAGAGAAAACAGAGAGGAAGAAAGGGGGAAAAGGCAGAAAATTACCCAGTCTAAAAACTCATACCCCTTTGGATCCGTGAGAGCACACCGGTTTATCCGCCTAAAAGGCTAAAATGAAGGATTGATACACAGAGACAGTCACGCAAAAGAGAAGCTCAGACCATTCCCCCTTTTTGTGGGGTTAAAAGGGTGGGTGTTTTTTTTTTGCCTTAATTTTTTTTTTTTTCCTGGTGGCATAAATTTCTCTGGAGAATATACAGTGAAATGAAAAAATGTGATCTTTTTACAGGATTTTTTGGCGTGGGGTTTCTCGAGTTGAAGGCGTATGAAGGAAGTCTGCATCGTATAGGTACAGTGCACACAGGGCCGTATTTTAAATTTTGGTGGCCTGTTCTGGTAAATAAATGTGGCCCTACCAAAATCACAATTTTTAAAATCAATACATGCAAGTTTCGAACCTTTGACCTCCAAGTTAAAATACAATAAATACACATTTTTACCATCTCTTCATAGAACCTTTTAAGTTTAATTGAAAACTCTTACTCTTAATTTTTATTTCTAAACTAGCTAGGTAAAAATTAAATATTGGACCTATAAAATTTGGGGCCCCTCTAAAATTGGGGGCCCTGTGCGGTAGCCCAGCTTGCACAGCCTAAAATCCGGCCCTGAGTGCACAAAAGGTGAGCGTTGATTGAAAGTGATGGGAGAGTGACTTCACTTGGGCTGTTGGGCAGAATCCAGAAACCAAACCCCAACTTTTTTCCCAATTTTTTACAGTGTTCAAGTTGGGTAACTTCAACACTTCAACTTGTTCGGTTAGCCGTGTTTCGGTAACTGATATTCATGAGAATGGTAAGTACTTTTCAAATATTGTTTCATTATTATTTCCAAAATGTTAAATCCACGACTCCAAAAATCTCTTATTCCGATCAACAGACCATATAAAAATATGTAAATTATGGTAACTCATCTAAACATAGATGTTAGACTGCAACTCAGATCATTGTTCTTAAACTTCACCAATCTAACCAACTGAGTTGTCTATGCAGTCTCAAATATTTTTTTCATGAGAGAAATTGGTTATTACTATTTACTCTCTCCATCTCATTTTATTTCTCTGTAGGTAACTTAAGCTATATTTAATTCAATTTTTTCATAATATTAAGTTTAGTATTACAAAGTAATATATATATATATTTTTTTTTGAAAACTACAAAGTAATATATAAAATTTATATATTTAGAACCTATATTAAAAGAACTATTAAACACGAAAAAAAATCAAATTACAAATTACTAAAGAAAATAAGAAATGAAGAAAAAATTGATTTGACCAATGAATAGGAAACATGATAGGCAAAATGCAATAGTGGAAGTAATTAATAGTGTGTATTGAGTGATTTTTTGTAATATTGTACCCATAAAAAATATGTACGACAAACTTGAAGAGTGTTGACAAAAATTGAATTTATCACAGGTATAAAAATATGCTCAACCTATACACAATTAGGATCAAGACCTTGTGGTCTAATGACACCCGAGTTGGACTCCCATATGGGAAGTTGTGACAAAAAAAAAAAAAAAAAAGGAATATTTTATATTAATAACCTAGATTCAAGTCTTCATAACTTTCCCTAATCCCATTGTCCCATTTTTGTTACTAGTTATCCAAATTAACTCTTTTTGAGAGATATGACAAAGATCACAATATGAAGTTAGCTTATTATATTTTACATTAATAACATAGATTATTCAACTTTTCTTAACATTCCCTTTGTTCCATTTTTTAGCCTCAATATGAGATTCTCATATTAAGTATTTATCATTACATTAAAAGTTATAGCTAGTATCAAAGACGTAATTTTATTTTCTTATACTTCCATAGAAGTCAGCGTCATGTTTCGATTACAAAATGCTGAACTCGACTCTTCAAGTTGCCACCCAATAGCTAGAATATGGAATTGGGCTTTCATAGGTTTCTTGATCCTCCGACCCAACGTTGACCCCTTCATAACCAATAATTATATGAGAGTTGTGTGATCTTATTTTATGTAAGCTTATGCGCATTTCTTTCTCATTAGTTTGACCGATCATTCTTAAATTTTGTTTCAATGGCAATGCGAAAGTTCAAATCTCACTATGAGTGATGAAAACTCATTATGCGCAGAGTTTATAGGTAAGCTAAGGGATGAGAACCTTCAAGTTGATGGAGGGAGATTCACGATTTACCTCTTTCAACTAAGAAGTTAAGATTTGTCTGGTGTAAATTGAAAACTTAATATATACTCCGCATTAAAAAAAATTATGAAGCATATAATTTCATGGCAAATTATATTGTGCACCGCGGTGCATAATCGATTATGCACCGCGCATCAAAACGACGTTGTTTTTATTAATGAAAAGAAACGTCATATGTTTCCCGCCGTTCCGCACCCTTCTGCAAAAAGTAACTTTGTTATTGAGTTTCATTTTGTATACACTGCAGTTTTAGTTCAACACAATTATAGTTTCATTTCAGTATAACTACAGTTTCATTCTATATTTATTGACTCAAAAATGTGAAAATATTATTTAATTTTATTTTATATAAATTATAGTTTTAGTAAAACACAACTACATAATCATTTTGATATGATTACAGCTTCATTGTACAATATACACTCAAATATGTGAAATGTTATTCAGTTTCATTTTATATACATTGCAGTTTCATTTCACCACAACTATAATATCATTTTGATATAACTGCAGTTTCATTTGATAATATAAAATAATACGTGAGACATTATCAGTTTAGATATACTATAGTGTCAGTTGGTAATTAACATATAAAAAAATGTGCGTTCCATTAACACTAACGCCGTTTCTTTACTAAAAGAAACGATACCGTTTTGACATGCACCGCGGTCCACGATATAACGACTGTAATTTCATGGACTAGGCCTGCAATTTTTAAAATGAAAATGTATGGGCTGTAACCCTGTTTTATTTAACATATATTGCTTGGGCCTGGGCCTAGGCCTGGACCTTTTTGTTAATCATCAGTGATACTCTGCAGAAGCCCAATTCTACTGCGTGGTAAATTACTATTTTAGCCAGATGGGGAAAAGAGATAGGTAGTTATATCCGTTACAAATCGCGCGTGTAGAAACGCAATTTGCCCATAGCCACTCGAACCATACCCGCCAAATCCCCAAACCATCACCGCCGTGGTGAGTGGACAGTCGCAGCTATGGCGGCGTGTACGGCGCTTCTCTCTCCTCCACCCAATCCATCACTCTCGTCTTCTTCCAACTTTCTCTTCTCTATTCCAGTCGCGAGGGCTTCCGGCCTCAGAACCCAGCCGCTCTCTTCCCGCGTAAAACGCCTCTCGGTTTCGGCTTCGGCTTCTTCGGGGCGTGCGCTAGACGCTCTGATCTTCGACTGCGATGGCGTTATTTTGGAGTCGGAGCACCTCCACCGGCAAGCCTATAACGACGCTTTCTCTCACTTCAATGTCCGCTGCCCGTCTTCCCCTTCTTCTGAGCCGCTGAATTGGGGTGTCGAATTCTACGATGATCTCCAGAACCGAATCGGCGGTGGCAAACCTAAAATGCGATGGTCTCTCCCTCTTTTTCTCTAAATTTAGTGTATATTGACTATTTGTCTTTATTATTCATAAATATATGTGATTAATTTGAATGCATTTGTTGGAGTTTGGTGTCCGGAATTGGAATGAATTAGGTATTTTAAGGAGCACGGATGGCCGACGTCTACAATCTCTGATAAGCCTCCGGAAGACGATGCCGATAGAACCAAGCTAATTGACATTCTTCAAGTACCAATTTTTAGCTTCTTTTTCTAATCTGTTACCACGGGTGGTGTTACCAGTTGTAATTCCAAGTTCTTCGTTTTTGTAGGATTGGAAGACTGAAAGATACAAACAGATTATCAAATCTGGAACTGTAAGAGAGAGAATAAACTAATTCATTCAAACCTGTATTTCTTTTTTTTCTTTTTTTTTTTGTGACGAGGGAAACCACCGTCACTGCCGAGGTATACACCGAGTAAATCCTGCCTTGTGACCTTAGCCGGCAGTAAACTAGCCTAGGTTGTGGTCAATCAAGAAGGATAATAAGTTGCTTCTGCTGGAGTCAAATTTGTAACATTGTGGTTACCAAGTCACTTATGCCTTGAATAATCTTGCTTAGTGAGGTAATTAACTATGTGCTTATTACTTTGTCAGGTTAAGCCTAGACCAGGAGTTTTGAGATTGATGGATGAAACCAAGGCTGCTGTAAGATATATAGTTATTTTATAACTTTGCAATGTACAAACTGGGTCATGATACTTAGCTTTGGTCATTTCATGCATTGCTTTTCTATGGATAAATTTGATTATCTGTTATCATTAAACACTTGGTTCTTTTCAAATTCTGTCTGCCTGTTTAGATTTCAGTTTGTTGTATTAGTATATCTTAAATGTGACATTTGTTGCATTCCTCTCTATTCTATGACAGGGCAAGAAACTGGCTGTTTGCTCTGCTGCAACTAAAAGTTCAGTCATCCTTTGTCTGGAAAATCTGATTGGACTGGTAAGCCCATTAGTTAGCTGAAGCTATCGACCTTCTTTAACAACATATATGGATTCAATTTTTGTGCAAACTTTTGTTCGTTTAGGAACGATTCCATGGCCTTGACTGCTTTCTTGCAGGTATGTTTCACTTTTCTGGGAATTCAATTCTCCTTTTACTTATGATGTAATAGTTGTTGCATATCAAGGACTAGAAATAGTAATAATGAAATAGAAAGCTTATCAAACAAATAACAATTCTGCTGACATTTGGAACATGAATGTTTGGGTAGTCTAATCTAAAGGTGTCTCCATCTTTTTTAGGCGACGACGTGAAGGAAAAAAAGCCTGATCCTTCAATATATATAACAGCTGCCAAGGTTACCAATTTATGAAACTTGCACTTGCAATCCACTGATTTCAAAGTTTCAACCCTTAATGCCATTTCAATACACTGACAATTTATTATTTTACAGAAGCTTGGCGTGTCAGAAAGAAATTGTTTGGTGGTAGAGGATAGTGTCATTGGACTGCAGGTATCCTCTTTTCCAAAAGCATACTCCATAGGTATCAAGGCCTATGTTAGGATCAAGTGCTTACCACTATGCTAAAATCTATAGCTAATACTTGCATAGCAGCTAGCGCTACATTTCGAACGGCAGAGTGCTAGACTTGACTCTTCAGGCCTCCGCCCAACAATTCCCCCCTCCCCCCCTACCTGGTGCTAGAATTGGCCCTTCAAGCCTCCGCCCAAAACCTAGAGAAAGAAAAAGAGTAAACTGTTAATTAGCAGAACCCTTGAGTGTGGATTTTCATATAACCTGTGATTGCTTGCCTGCCAGTCATCCTTTCAATTTATGAGGTTTGGTTAATAATTTAATGAGGCAAACTCTATATGTTGCTCAACTTCTTTAGGCTGCAACAAGTGCGGGGATGTCGTGTGTGATCTCATATACATCATCCACTGCTAATCAGGTGAGGCCCCTTAGTTACTACAGTCTCCATAGTTGTTACATCGGGATCTTGTGGCCAAAGCTGGAAACAGGACCTCCATGCACCAGTATGCAATTTGTGGATCTGACCACACTATTTCATGACCTATTTTTATCACAGGATTTCAAAGAAGCCATTGCAAAATATCCTGACTTGAGTGATGTTAGGTACAATCTCAGCATCACTCAATTGTTAACAACATTCTAGTGACTTGTAGTTCCCATCCTATATGTTTTCTTGTGTCAATTTGCAGATTGAAGGACTTAGAGTTGCTGCTTCAAGATGTGGTTTCCATCAAGTAGGAAGACTATTAGAACAAGAAGCATATTATGCACCATTGTGGATGGTCCTGTTGAAGGGTGTTTGATTAGGCTTGAACTGGAACAGAAGTGTGGTAACAATAGTTTGGCTCTGTTGCAGAATGCCTGGGTTTTGATTAATGAGCCATTGGAGAAGGAAACAAAGAAGGAAAGATTGATTAAGGATTTTACATCTTTTTAAATTCAAGAATTCATTAATTATAATTTATAGACATAAAGTTCAATCTTTTTCTTGTTAAAACTTCTGACAATAAGTTATGCTTTTATTTGTTTTCATGATACCTAGCAACTGACAAACATCAAGGGGTGGTGGTGCAGTTGGCTAGCGCGTAGGTCTCATAGCTTCTGAGTGATCCTGAGGTCAAGAGTTCGAGCCTCTCTCACCCCATTAATTTTATCTCTTCCCACAGAGAAAAAGTGCTAAACTTCAACAAATTGAAAATATTAGGAAGAATTAACATCATCCGACCTTAGCTCAGTTGGTAGAGCGGAGGACTGTAGTAGGCTTGACTATAGCAGCAAATCCTTAGGTTGCTGGTTCGAATCCGGCAGGTTGGATTTGTCCTTTACCTACCTTTTTCTTGTAACTGCTAATATGGGGTAGATGGTCCTAGGATAATTGAATCATTTAAAAAATAATAATAATTTCTCTTGAATTTGTAATTATCTATTTCAATTGAATATAATCTAAATAATAATAATTTCTCTTGAATTTGTAATTATCTATTTCAATTGAATATAATCTTATTTTATTGTTTTACTTTACGGTTTTAAATGTATTAAAAGTTTTCATTCAAAATTTCATTATCTAAAGCGATAATACTTCATTCATATTTTATTAACAAATAAAAGTTCATTTTTTTAAGAGGTGTTCATTTTTTTAAGAGGTGTTATTAGTCAATTCATAGTAACTAATGAATATAAAGAGATTTATGGAAATGAAATCTTAACAACAAGTTACAAAGTTTTACAGTATATCTACTAAAGGTTGAACCTTTGCAGACATCAAGGGGTGGTGGCGCAGTTGGCTAGCGCGTAGGTCTCATAGCTTCTGAGTTATCTTTTTGGTATGTATGCTATTGACTGTAGTGTATATATATATATATATAACTTTTGCCATTTTTCATACCTCTAGTCTGTGTTCCTGTTGTTGCCATCCTGCTGGGGAGGAGAGCAAGAATCCATAAGAAACGCTTTCAAATGGCTGTACAGTTGCTTCGGTTTCTCCAGATTGATTGCATGCCCCGCGTTCTTGAGCATCACCAGCTGGGCGTTGTCGCCCAAATGCCTGCACAAATCATTCAGATTCAGCATTTAGTCTCAGTTTTGTTGCAGAATATTTTCATACTGGAAATGGGAAGGCTCTTCTTTTGGGTATCAACCTTTTCAATCGGTGCGCTAATTCTGGTGGGAATACCTGATCGTTTTCTCCCCAGATGATCAATGTGGGCTGCACCAACAAAGATTGAATTCAATCAATTAATTAGTCTAACACATGACCTTATAAACTCATATGTTCTCTCTTATACTTTCGATGTGAGACTTTTAACACTGAAAAAGAAGCAAAGAACAAGAACGCTTTAGTGGTAAAGCTATGGCAACCTTTGACAACTGACCTGAGTAATCTTAGGAAGATCAGACAACTTTCTGTCTTTGTATAATGCCTCGATAAGCTCCTTTCTCTCTTGGCGATTCACAGTACACATCACCTGTAATAGAGTATAAGAAATTAACTGTGTCGGTTTCAAGTATAGACAATCAAAACGAACACCTTATGTACGAGTGAACTAGTTTCAGAATCAGACAAAAGTTCTGTAATATTCCTAAATGATTTTAAACCATTCCAAGAATCCAAAGATAATGTTCATTCCAAAAGCAATCAGAAACGCACGATTGATGAGCTCGGGGTTGTTTGGTTTATCTTCACGAAACTTTTCTACACCAGTCATGTCAGACAAAGGGCTAGTATCAAAAACGACTAATATCACACCGGTAAACAACTGGTTATTCTCTCAGACTCATCGAATGTTTAAGCATCATTACATGGTTTATAAACAGCAAATAAAGTACTTATCTTTCAGAAATGTTTAGTGGCTAGAAGGAGATATCTTGACATTTAGGCCAAATACCAATTGTGGGTAAAAGGCAATCAATCCTTTTGTCAGTAATAAATCTAGTAATCCCTAAATAGATCTAAAATCACATTCCAAGCATAATATAGCAAAGAAAAATCATATGGTTCAGCAAGCATCTACCAATGTGACAATAAAGGGATATAAGAATCATACTAAAAATATATTCAAGACTCTTTTGTTCTTTAACCTTCAATTTTTCATTTCAGACTGGTAATAACACTAAATTTTTAATAAGCCAAAGCCTTGTAATCTATAGAATAAGCCAAGTAGAAGATCAACTAAATCAGTAGTCACTACTCAAGGGTGTGCAACTGTGCATTGGATAAACCCCGGGATAGAACTTGCAACCTTATGGTTACTAAATCAACATATCCGACCAACTCGGCTGGGGTTGCCCCGATCACATCTTTCTACAATCAGCTAATGTTATCAATTAATTATACCGCCTAACTAACACAATCAGCTATCAGTTAACCGCAATTTACCGAACAGGGCCATTACCAACAAAGATAAACAAGGAAACTAGCATTTAGATAGTAAATGTCTGAACTCATAATCAAAGATTCAATCTTTTATGCTTAATGATACTCACATCAATGAAATCAGCCAGGAAACAAGAAGGGACAGCAATCTTAGCAGGCTTATAAAATGAGAATTTCATCAACTCCTTGAGTTTCTGAGGGCTCTGTGGCAACAAGATATCAGCAGCCTCCTCCACACTCTTCACTATAAACATCCCATTTTCCATGTCCTTCTCCTCCAAGCACACCCCAGTGCAACCCAGAACCACCTTCTCCACCGCCTCCGGGAACTGCGCCGCCATGCTATACGCCACAAACCCACCATAGCTCAGACCCACCACACTCATCCTCTTCACCCCATGACCCTCCATGGCCCTCATCACACACTGGGCTTGAAAAGCCTCTGTTCTCTCCGGCCTGGAGGTGTAGGATTCGCCAAAGAAGAGCAGGTCCGGGACATAAACATTGAACTTGGAAGCCAAAGGGGAGATGAAATCATTCCACTGCCACATGGCATTGGCTCCGAAGCCATGGATGAGAAGAAGAGTGGGTTTTTGGGGTTTGTGGGTTTTGGGCACCCAACAGTGCACAATGGTGCCATCTCCCAAGTCTTGCGTGGAGGATTTCAGGCCGGCGTTTCTGAAAGAGTATCTGAAACACTGGTCTCTTGATAACGTGAAGCTGAAACACTTCGCCATTGATGGAAGCCTGGAAACTCCAACAGCAGACTCCAAGAATCAGATTCAAAAATTTAATCTTGGTTCAAGAATATAACATTAAGAAAAGGGACAAAGATTCCGTGAAATCAGGGAGTCTGCTGGGTTCTTCTGGGCACGCTGGAAATTGGACTCCGGTCGGAGAAACGAAGATGACGGTGACTGGGTTGTGAGGATGATGGTTGTTTACTAGTTTCCCTCCGCCACGCCCAATAATTCTCTCCCTAATGTCAAAATCGTTTTGATCAATAATTTGACATGGTGGTCGGGGCCAAGCCAATGGCATTACGCCATTTCAAAAGAAAATTAGAAACTGAATTAATTGACTTCATAAAAAATTATAAATATACTTTCATCCATTTCCTTTTTTAAGAATTGATACTTGCCCCGTAGTTACTTCTCGTGTGATGTAAAGGTCATGACGGGAGATTCTAGTATAAAGTTTGAATCTTTATAGGTGGTTTGGTTGGAATGAAGGAATTTAGGTGAAAGGAATTATAATTCGGTGAGAATAAAATATGAATTACAATTACATTGTTTGGTAGAGATGAAAAATGAAAATGGGAGAAGTAATATAAAGACTAAAATACCCTTGTATAATAATATTAATAATAATAACATTCAATGACAAATATGTCATTTCCTTCCTTCTCCCTTTTTATTGTATGGATGAATTCATTGAATTGCATTCATAGGGGAAACCTATGAATTGAGGGAATTGCAATTCCCTCAAATCAATGTAGTTTATCATTTCATTGAATTGTAATCCATGCCAACCAAACACCCCCTTATAAAAGTATGATGGAAGGTCTGGATTGAATTAATTATGGGTACATTAATACTAAGATTTGACAGGTGAACTGATTGTGAACTCACAGTTTACCTACACATTGGCTCTAGGGGTCTAGGGACGGAATCCTATAAACTTAAAATTAGTCTGAAAAAATTAGAATCACTTAAAAAAAAAAATTTAAAATAATAATAATAATAATAATAATATTACAATCACAATTATTAAGATTTGAATCAATATGTTACACTCTCTCTACCCATATCTTTTTTGGGCCTATACCATCACACATCATGCCTACGAAGAATAAATCATATCCAATTAAGAATAACCCCATTGAAATCATCTAATGCCTAATGGGCACATCTAGGTTATCAACCACCCTAATTTTTGTTTTTATTTCAAAAACAGAAACTTTTTTTATATTTTTTATTAACTCCCCAAAAAATCCAACCACTATTGTTGAATCCTCAATCCATTGAGGATAAGTTAGTGGCTCAAGGCCAATACAGATACTCACAATGGATCTGTCCAATCTGGATATAATCTCAATGCTGCCATTGTCAAATTTCAAACCTAAGATAAGTCCTTGCAGGCAATTCTTATGTATTTTCCCTTTGGGGTAAATGTTGTCTTTATTCTTTCTGATCTAGTGATATTGACAAAGTGGCACGGGTCAATTTTCCAGCAGTATATCATCGGAGAGGGAAGGGATTGGTATTTCAGTTCTGATTTTCGACCTAATGATAATAGCAAAGTAGATCTGGTAAGCAATTATTTTCTTAATTGCCTTTCCGGTCAAGATGAAACAGCGAAGATTCATCTTGTTCGCACCACGTTCTCAATTGATACCAGAAACTGTGTAGTTTAACCATGGAAGGTATGGCATTTAAAAGGAGAAAACATAAAAGATTCTCTATAATAACAAAGAAAAATTATTATGGCTCAATGCTAATAATAGCAGTGTCGAATAAATGAAAAAAGATTTTCAATAAAAATAGCAGTGTTGAATCCCTTGTGATATTATTACTCTAGAAAGGTTCTGCTTCACATGAAGACAATAACGCGCCAATCAAAACTTTAAGCAAAGCGTTCAGCGCTGGAACACATGGCTCTGTCATGCGTGGATTTGTTCACCAAAATCACAAAAAATGAGACCCCACATTCAACAGTTGACAAAGACAGACAGAGTAAACCTAAAGATATTTTTGCAATCAAACGATCACAAGAAAAGACACTTGATCCCCACCACCATTACAAAACTCATTCAAAGGTTAAAGAGATAGCAACCAAATCCCTATCCCAGAACGCCACATCACAGAAAGATATTTCGACATTTTGACCAAATTTGATTAAACGCCTTGAACTACAAACCAAAACTAAACATTATATTGTACAGAGAAGAGAATGGTGAAAGATCAAATAAAGCTAAAACTTGCAAAAGAAAGACAATTTTCTACATTCGAATTATCATTAAGTTGGGATGGAAAGACTGAAGTACATAGAAAGAGTAGTAACCCATTTTGCTAGGTGTCCTTTTAAGCATATCACATAAACTACCAAATTAATAAAAAGCAAAAGTAAACTATCCATCAGGCAATATTCCAAAGGGTCAGAATATATTCGGCAAATCCTTCCTTCACCGCATTCAAATCACTTCGAATCAATGCTTTAATCGTCATCTTCACTGTCATCCTGTCAACAAACAACCACACAATGTCAGATTAAACGTTCATATAATTCAAGCTTAATCAGAACTTATATGTCAGTTCAAACCTCTCCGCTGCCGTCCTGATCCTCATCGTCATCGTTCACTTCGGACCTCGACTTGTCAGATTCTTCCTCTTCTGCGGCTCCAGCAGCCTGTTTCTTATTGTACGCCTGCAAGTTCTTCTCGTACTCCTGCTTCCTTTTCTCCGCCTTGGAGATGAAAGGAGCTTTCTCCTAAATTCAATTTGACAATAGCAATAATAATAAGCAACCGACATCAACTGATCACAAATTAATCTAACAAAACAATCAAACACTTACAGCGGCAGTGAGTTGTTTCCACTTGTCTCCTCCAGCCTTACCGACCTGATAGTTTCAAATTTAAACATTTAAAATTCAAAAACTTAAATTCCAAACAGTAGATAGCTTTGGAATCAGCGGCTCAATCCGAACTACTTAACATGAATCTGAAGAAATACTTACAACGGCCACAGATTTGTTGTTTGGATGCTTCTCCTTGTACGTCTTCCGGAAGTCCTCCCTGTCGTTCACAAAATAAATCCAGCAAAAAAAGTGTTAATACTTAACGACTAATCGCCGCAAAAAGAACTGCGTACAGATGCTTATTGATCTGAAATAGATAGAGAGTCAAAGAGCGTACATGAAAACGAAGAATGCACTAGGAGGCCTTTTCGGCTTATTAGGATCCTTGACGGCCTTCTTCGTTTTCTTAGTATCCGCAGCCTGTTTCTTCACAGCGAGCCTATAAAACAAAAATTTACAAAAGCAAACATAAATTAAAGCCAAATCCAGCAAAATCATCTATACTTACATCACCTACAATTATAATCAAAATCGCAGATCAGAACAGTTAACGGAGTAGAAATCGATAGGAAACAAAAAGACGAATAGAACTCACTTGTTATCGGACTTGGCCTTGGATTTACCCCCTTTCATGGCGAAACCTGCGAAAAACAATGAAAACCGGTGAGAATCGGACGGAAACCGGCGGAAATCGACGGAACTCGGTAAGAGAGCGGCGCAGGGGTTGGGAGTTTACCTCTCTAGGGTTGAGACAGAGAAGAGTACTATAGATAGAGAGATATGCTTTGGATATGTGCGTTGTGTGGTGAGTGGGCTGATGGGGAGAGAGATAAGAAGAGCGAGCGAGGGAGGGTTTGAGAGAAAGGAAAGGGAAAAAGAAAAAATTCGCAAGTGGCGAAAAATATTGAATCCTGAGAATGAAATTTCAAGTCCGGGGTTTTGGCGGGAATTCGGAATTCTCTCGCCACGTCATCCATCCGTGCGCTCTCCTCCCATTGGCTGAAAGCTCCGTTGAAACAACCAGTTTAGGCTGCTCTCGGCTTTGTGTTTTTCCTGTGTTTCCTCGCGGAGGGATCGTGGCCCTTGGATCGCCTGCTGATCAAGCAGTCCGCTAACGTGGCGGGATCCCGTGAGTTGGGGTGTTTATGTAAATTGACCCAGCCGCGTTGGGCCTTAGTGCTGTAATGACAACGTTAACCTTTGGGTGTTATAAGGGATTTATTATGGGACCGTTTAGGCCTACTACGGAAATCTCGACAAAATGACGCGATATGACCGGATAGGTTCGTGGATCTCGGGTTTTAGGGCCAATAAAGTAAATTTACCCGTGTTTAAAGAATCTTGCGTCCTCCCTTCTCCACAATATTAGGCTACTGGCTAAGAGCATCCACATTGGTTGGGAAGAATGGGGAGATAATGTAAGAGTGATTAGGAAAGAGAGTGTGGGAGGGGAGAGAAAAAAAAAATAAAAAACAAAATAAAAAAAAATTAAAAAAAAAAAAGAAAGTAGTCAGACGCGTCAGGCGCGCCGACTGGCGCGCCTGACGCTCCTCCGGGCGCGTGCAGTGCACGCGCCCGGCTTTTGCCCAAGGCTGTGCGCGAACGCGCACAGCCTTGCTTCTTCTTCTTTCCCTTTTTTTTTTTTTTTTTTTTTTTTTTCTGACAATCTCCCTACATTTGCAGGGAGATTATTTTTCAATTATCTCATGTCCACACTAGCTATTATCTCATGAAGGGAAGATTTAATTCTGAATTCTCCCCACAATATCCACAAGTGTGGATGGCCTAAATTAATGGTATATTTTAATATATATATTATAAATTTTCAAATTATTATATTACAACAACAAGGTGCACTAAAAACTAATAAACAAAAATTTATTTAAGTAATAAATACTTTTTTGACTCATTTTATTATGTGTATAGTTCATTAATAAAATTTGACACAAGTTAATCACCATTTATTTTTTGTAATATTTAATTTAATGTTGTTATATACTCCGTAAAATTTATATATTTGAGAACTATTTTAAAAACATTATTCAACACAAACAAAGAGTTAAATCTAAAACTTACAAGTAAACTTTAAAAAAAAAAAAAAAGTGAATAAAGAATATTTATTTTGAAAAATTAATAGTTAACCTGAGTACCTAACATGTTAAAAGAAGATAGACGAAGTATGTCCATAAACGAATTGTAAATGTAATTGTAAAGTTGAGTATGTGCAAAATTTTATCAAGACAATGAATCTGATTGCCTCAATTTTTGTAATGCTTTTCATTCCCGTTGTGTTGATTTTTCGTACGTAGGTCTTTATGTAAAGCAATGCTTGTCGATTGCTAACGATGTTGGGACCGTCTCTGTGGCCCACATCAAAAGGACAGTGAACCGTGTAGCTCACGAGCTTGCTCGGGCAACTGTTTCAGAATCTGTCTCGGGTGTGTGGGTGTCTACCCCGCCGCCTTGCCTTGTCAATTTTCTGAGTTGTTAATGAAAGTTCTTGCGTTTTTGTTCAAAAAAAAAAAAAAAAAGTTCAATCCAACATGGAGTAATTCTACAAACGTAAATAATAATAATAATAATAATAATAAATGTAAAATAATTTTAATAGTCAAATATTTAATTTTTTAATTATAACAATAATTTTAAATATGTATTAAACGAAACACGTTTAAATCTACTCATTATTTTTAACATGTTTTTATTGTTTGGTATCAAAATAAAATATTTTTGGAAAAGATTTAATTAGATCAACAATTGTTCTCATCTTTTGTATTACTTCCATATTTATTTATTTTAGGGAAAATGGTCAAATAGACCCTTGAACTATAGGCAAAATTGTAATTAGGTCCTTCAACTTTTAAAAAGTACAATTAGGCCCTTCAACTTGTTATTTTGAGTCAAATAAGCCCAATAACAGGTTATTCACCTGCAATAACCGGTCAAAAAAATTTGGCGATATTTTCGGTAAGAATTCTGGCGAAAAAAAAAAAATTCGACGACAATAAAAAAAATTAAAAAGAAAAAAAGATGACCTACCGGAGAAAACAACTGTTCGGACGTCGTCTTCTCCGGGAGAAGATCGGAAATTGTCGTTTCGGTGATTTTTTTATTTTTTTATTTTCTGCGACAGTCACCAGTGATTTTCGGCAGTCAACGGTGATTTTCGGCAGTCAATGTCAATAATTTACTCGTAACCTATTGGTTACCGGTAATTAAGCTTATTTGACTCAAAATAACAAGTTGAAGGGTTTAATTGCACTTTTACATATAGTTCAATTGTCTATTTGACCCTTATCCCTTTCTTTTATATGCTTAGTTTTTTGTTTTTTTTTTTTTTTTTTGGGGGGGGGGGGGGGAGGGGGGGTATTGTCGTTAGAGATCACTAACATGTTTAATTAGAAATATCCCGTTATTGAAAAAAAAAAAAAAAAAAAAAAAAAAAACAAGTGGTTATGGGATAATTTTATTCAAAATTCACGAAATTAGTAAAAAATATAAACTTATATATACATACACACACTTCCATATTTATATTTGAGAGGTCTTATCAAGGATCTTGTAGTCCAATGGTACCAAGTTGCTTCCTCATAAGGGAGGTTGTGGGATTCTTTGTGCTAACAGATACTGCATTGTAATAGAGTCAGTATGGAAAAAATATATTATTATGAATTTAAATAAAAAATTTAAAAATAAAAAGATATTAAAATATATAATATAATAATATAGTTAGATTTTTCATATATTTGGCAGGATATGTATGTTTATAGCATACAAAATTAAAATTAAAATTAAAATTGTGTAAGATTAATATAGTGTTTAATAATGTACATATTTAGATACACTTATAAACGAAATTTACATAATTAAATTGATTATTTATAATTGTATTTCATGTATTATCATTTCAATAAAATGAATAATGATTTTTTTTTTTTTTGGAAAAAGAAACTCAATTCATTAAATCAGTAGCAAGTAACGGAACCAGAAACGGAGGTGGCACATCAAACCACTCCCCACAACCTGACGTGGAAACGGCTTCCCGAGCTAACGCATGGGTCGCACGATTCGCAGATCGTTTTACAAAATTAAAGTTAACCCGATTGTTTAAAGAGGCAACTTGTTTAATATCATCTACTACAAAACCAAAAGCAGAAAAATAAGAACTAGCATATAACGCATGGTAGCAAAGTTGCGAATCAGTCTCCACCTCCACCTCACCCATCCCCGTACCTTTGAACCAAATTAGCACCTCCCGCAAACAAAGTGCCTCCGCCACCGTATGAAGACCAACAATATGGGTAGAACGCGCAAATAATGATTAAGGAACTTGTATTCATAAATCAAAAGAGGTAATTTGAAATGTTATATGAATAAATTTAGATCATGAATGTATTTCCTAATAGGATTGTATAATGCTTTTTATGAGCACATAATTCTCTTAACTATAATTTATATTGTAAGATTTATAATTAAAATAATTATATTTATTAATATGGTGCATAATTATATGTGTGTATTTAAGTATATTTTTAAATAATTATTGATATGTATTTAGAAAAAGCTTGCTCAGGCCTCGAATTATCCTAACAAGCCTAATTTTTCAAAGCTTGTCCCGCCCTAATCTATTTCCATTCATAATTTCATACTCATGACCCCCAAATTTAATCCAATATGGCATTAGTCCTCATTTTCGACATATGAGCTGCAAATATGATCATCATTCTCTTTTAACGAGTGTTTCAATGTGTGATCACAATTAAATTATCATTTAATGTAGTAGAGGATTTGTTGACCTGTTACAATTAAGTATTGAAATGTTATTTCAAATTATTTTGAAAAGAGCTTTCAAATTGATGATATTTTTTTTGTTAAGTAAACATAAAAAGTATAAATTAATTATTTAAAGTAGACATAAAATACAAAATATAAAGTTTAAATAAAATAAATAGTTGTTGTAATTATATAATAAATTATTTTAATTTATAATATTAACAATAATAATAATAGATACTACATTGTATAAATCATATGTGAGACATTAATTTTTTGAGTTGAACAAAATTGAGAAAATATATAATATATACCATATTGTAAAGAATGATGTTTCAAAAAAAAAGAAAAAAAAAAAAAAGGAAAGTACATTACCTTACCCACTCACTCAAAAAAAAACATTACCTTACACATTTTTGCCATTTACAATTCTAAGAGCAAATTTGTAAGTTTTAGTACATGTACTCACAAATTGAATAATCGATTACCGCTCCCTAACCTAATATTATCTCTGTAAGGGTTTTTCCTCATTATCCCTTCATCGGCCGCTGCCTCCGCTCGTTTTGCGGAGGCGCCGCCGACTTCCTCTCGTTTGTTCCCTTACACCGACCGTCTCTCAATCGCTATCCTTCGACCTCCTCCCGCCTCTCTTCCACCGCCACCATTTCCTCCTGCCCCTCACCGACGTTTCTTCCTCCTTCACCACCGTCCCTCGCCATCTCCAACTTCATATCCAAGCTTCTTTACTTCTTTTTTTTTTCAACGATTCAATAAGTAATAAGTAATATATATATATACACACACACACACACACACACACACAAATACACACACATACATACATATTAGTTAGCGGTTTGGTGTTTAGGATTTGTTTTTGCTATTTTATATTTGATTTTCATATGTTGTTTTGTTAAAGTTATTTCCTGTTGTGTTTTTAGCGAGTTTTCTTCTCGTTTATTTGACGAGCTCTTTTTTCATAATGTGAAATAATTTATCTAATAATGGAGTATGTTTGCTTCATCTCGAGCACCGAAGAATATTTGAACCTTGATATGCAATTCAGATTAATGAAGATATTTTCTATGGACATAAGAGCTGTAATAGAGTCAAACTTGGGTAGCAAGAACATTAACAATATCAAAGAAGCTTCATGTTCTCCAAACGAATTCAACTTCAATCTTGAAAAACAGTTAGAGATTCAAGTTTCGTGTAGCATTGGAAATTTGTTTTAATGTCTGATTGTAATAATGTTTTATCATTTCATCGATCTTATTGTAAACTTTTCATTGTGATTAATGAATAGTTATTTTATTTCAAAAAAATAAAAAAATATGTACTCACAAATTATATTCTTACACTTTTACTTTATGATGTGGCAAATAAGGATGATATATTGTGAGTAACAAATGAGAGTCAATGTAGTATTTTTTTTTTTTTTTTTTTTTTTTTTGTAAAAATGCAATCAAATATTGTTTTTTTTTTTTTTAAATGTCAAACACCAAATTATATTCAGTTGGCACCTTATAATAGAGTTGATAGTACTAAATTATTTGTTTGTTAAACTTATTTATTAGGGAAAATGCCACTTCTCCCCCCTAAGTTATATACTTATAGCACTTTCTCCCCCTGAATTATTCAAGTGGCTGTTTTTCCCCCTGAAATGTTAAATGGACATATTTACCTAAAATAAATATTTAAAATAAATATTTCATTTATTTTCCTTCTCCAACAAATTATGACAATAATTTGGTTCAAACCAAACAAACACTATAGCAACAAAACTGAAATATTCCAATTACAATTTAGAATCGAAACTCGATATTTAGAGTTTATTAAAATCGCGAACCGGAACGGACGATTCATGTACCGAACTGAAAAAATAAAATATATTTATTGTTGAATTTAGACTATTTAAAATAAAAAATAAAATTTTAAAATAAAGACGGTTCAAAATTGCGAACCGGATCCAGAACCGCCGATTCACGGTTCAAGATCCAATTTTTTTATTCATAATTTTAATAAATTGAAATCCAAATATTAGGTTCTAGATCTGAATCATAACCGAAAACTTTTAATTCAATTGCTATAGTGTCCGGTTCAGTTTGATCTGAACCGTGATCATCCCTACGTATACGCGATAATTTGTTGGAGAAGTAAAATAAATAAAATGTTTACTTTAAGGGTAGAAATGTCAATTTAATATATCAGGGGGGAAAAATCACCACTTTTAGAATAATTGAGGGGCTAATGTGCTTACCTAAATAATTAAGGGGAAAAAATAGCTATAAGTATATAACTTAGGGGAAAAAAGTGTCATTTTCCCTAATTATTATTATATTATTCAACAATTAATTAATGCTCATTACACATATATTAATTATTATAAATTTTAAATCAAATTTAAAATATTATTATTGTCAATTAACTATCCATCCAACTCAATTAAGGTTATCCAATTTATAATAAACCAAAGAAAAAAAAAAACTAAATATACAAAAACAAATTTAAAAAATTAGAGGAATTGGCGAGCTATGGAGCCGAGGAGCTTGAATTTCGATATGCATTAGATATAAACACTTCAAAACGAATAAACAAAAATTCCTTAATAAACAACGACGGTATTGTCCTATTGATCGAGAAATCAGATAGATAGAAACTATCCAAGCCTCCAGGGTCTGATATTCCACCAGAAATTCAAGACGATCCTCAATTTTATCCGTATTTTAAGGTAAATAGCTTCGTTTTGCTTGTATATTCTACTATGATCAACTACAATGATCCTTGCACGTTACAACCGTTTATCAGGATTCTGTTGGCGCAGTTGATGGCATACATTTCCCTGTGACAGTAGGCGTTGATGAACAAGGGCCTTTTCGAAATAAGAATGGCGTTCTTTCACAACATGTTATTGCAGCGTGCTCTTTTGATATGAAATTCCATTTTGTATTAGCTGGTTGGGAAAAAGGAAAAATATAATACGAAAATGTCAGAAAATATGGAAGAAATTATGGAAGAATCTCTGGAGAAATTCGATATATCAATGGCAGCACCGATGGTATTCATTTTGGTATCTATTGTCCAGTTTATCAATCGATACGTCGAAGTCAATAAGAAGGTTTATATTTTTATATTTTCTAATGTCGTTTCATTATTGAATGCTTTTATCTCGTGTTTGATTCATCATCTGGTTTTCTTCTTCTGTTGGATGCATGTTGTGAATTTGTTAAATCTTCACGAATTTCCGTAATATTGATTTGGAAATGGAGAAGGAATGGAAACAACAGTGTCATTGCAAACTCTTACTGAAATTTCTGACTTATACACAAAATTGATTTTCTCCCCTAACACGTTTTTGCAGAGAGCTACCATGTCTGCGGAGGATGTACGACTGAAGGCAGAAATTAAGAGGCTCCTAAGAGAGGCAGCTGGCCTATCACAGTGAGGGATTCCAATTATTCTAGGATTAATTTCTATTTAAGCTGCTATCAATATCTGATTTAGGATTCGTTTGTTGTTAATTACATTTGCATGCATTGTTATAGGAGTGAAAGCTAGTAGGATCTATCATTTTTATATAACGAAAAGAAATCACCTAGAGATTGGTATTCTTTTGCAGTTTCTACAATATGCGTGTTTGTATAGAGTTGTAGTCGGGTATAGAACACTCAGTCTGTTTTCGTCTTGATTTCAGGCCTTCAACATTTGCACAAGCTGCAAAGCTGAGGAGGATTGCGGCAGCTAAGGAGAAGGAACTTGCAAAAAGTATATTTATTCTGCACAAAAGTTGTCTCGATGCCTAGTTGAACTAAGTAACATTTGTTATATGCATTTTGTTACCTTATTCACACCTCTACAGTAGAAGTCACTTAATCTCATTTCAAATAATTGTCCAAGATTTTAGATACTGTGGATATCAAAGCACTACTTAATAAATCATGGAGTACCTTTCTGGAGTTTATTTTCTTCAGCTTCGGATAAAAAGTTGCATTGTATATGAATGTGCGTAATTTTAATGTTTTGAGCAACCATTTTCATGTGCATTAACTGATTTCTTGATCCCTAGTGGACATGCACTTAATTTTATCCTTAAAGATTTGGTTGCTAGCTGCTCAGTTTTCAGCATAGGCTCATAGGTGACTTGGTTTGTTTTCTCTTGCTGCTTGTCTGTTTTCCAATTAAACTAAGCTGTGTGATTTGTTATGTTGAAGATTCACTATAATGAAAAAAGGGGGTTATGAAGATATTTATGTGATTAATTTTGGTTTAGGCCAGGCCTCTTGGCCCAATGCTCAATTCTCTTTGGTGAATGCCATAATAATTTGTGATTGATGTCTGCTCTCAAGAACTTATCTGGTGTCCACTATTTAAAATTTATTTTGAATCACTTATACTAATGGTTTCTATATACTTGCGCAGGCATTGAGACACACAGTAAGGAGATAAGCATGTCATTTGTTATGTATACAAAAGGCCTATTCGTTTTAAAGGTAATGACTAATGAATGCATGGAGAATTCGATGCTTGTTAGGGTCTCGTGCTTTATATTATCTTAGAAACTTTACTCGTCTATGTCATGCAGGCCTGCACATACCTTATGCTTGTTTTATGTTTTTGGCGGGTGCCTTTGGGTTTCATATCTGAGGAGCTTGTAAAACCTTTTGGTAATGACTACTACCCTTCACAGTTTTGTAATTTCTTTTTAAGTTTTTATTAGTGTTGCCACTTGTATGATTGCTCTTGTAATCCATAATCTATTTATTCTATTTCTCCTAGCCTCATTATATATGTGTTTGTGTCACAACTATAGAGCTTTTGACATGGTTTTCGAAACTCATAAGCGATGATGTTGGGTGGAGGCCAGTAAAGGGCCAAGTCCATCAATTGGTGGCCGGCTAGGGGGATTGTTGGGCGGAGGCCGGTGAAGGGCCAAGTCTAAGCGCTTGATCCTAACAGATGAGTGTATAAAGTAGCTCACCTCATGTTTAACTGCTATATATTTGTCTCCTTTTTGCAGGTTATGTGTTATCTTGGCTATCTGGTGGCGATGCACCCAACTATACCACGGTACTCATTGATCAAAATTTTTCTTTTGTATTATTTATTTCTTTGCATTCCTAGTATCGGTTTATCAAATGTCCAATTCATCTCGTGGGCACACTTTTTGGCTCTTAACATTTTCTGAGAACATTATGCATAAAAAGGTTTTAGTAAATTTGGAATAGCGAAATAGATAAAGAAGGTGGTTATAAGTAAATTCTAGTGTTATGGTGATCAGTTTACTCTGAGATTCAGAATGTTAGAAAAGCTGGTACTTTTACTAACCAGAGATTTTTTTTTTTTTGGAGAAATAGAAAATTGGAAAAACTAAAATTGGAGAATTGAAGTAAACATAGTTGTCCAATTTATGTGTAAAGAATGACTATTAGTATGTGTGTTCTTGTTGTTCATCACTTCATTATCATCCTGCCATATATGTTTCCTAACTGCATCAAATACTAAACCAAACTGTTGTGTCATCTCATCAAAATTCTCTTTCCCGTTTCCCTATCATTGTACGGTCATAAATTCATAATGTAATCTAGTAAGGACAACTCTAACCAAGTTGGTCGGACACTCGGACAGTAAACTTGATAACTATAAGGTTTAAGTTCGAATCTATGTGGGAGCCAGTCTATTAGCATTCTTAGTTTGAGCCAGTCAGTTATTACTAATTTAAGTTGGTTTATCTCTTTGTAAGCCCACCTTTGGCATAGACTTTTTTGTAAATAAAAAAATATAATCTACTCATTACGCTAAACTTCTGCAAAGAAACAATCTTTTTAACGCAATTTTGTAATTCTGAATTGCAGATTGGGATTATTCCATGGATATTCGTGTCTAGTAAGACCAGCAGATTCTTTCTCAAAAGAGTAATAAAGTAGAGAAGAAAACAATCCACCGTGCTGGCTCTGGAGTGTAACCAATTTTGGTGTCAATTTCTTTAATTTGATTCATAATTTTTTTTTTTCTTTTTTGTGAAGAAAACACCAACAATGGCCTCTTTTTTTTTTTTTTTTTTTTTTTTTTGGGTTAGAATTGTTTCTTGTTGGATGAGAGAGGAGAGTAGTGTGTGTTAGGTCTTGATCCTCCCAGAGATGATCTACTTGGGTATCTTCGTCGTTGACGGCCATATGTCGGAAGAAAACAAGCACAATAGGTGGAGGTAGGTCATAGTATAAGCGGTGAATTGGCAACGAAAAATGAGAGATGAATGTGGTTGTATGTATCCCAGGTGTTGGGTATTTGGTTCAGTAGATTTTTTGAAATAATATAAAATTATTGAATGTGATTATTAAAATATATTTAGTTTGAATTTATATAGAGTGTGGAATGGCTATATAAAGTTAATGACCAAATGTGTTATTGTGTTAGAGGTTTTTTTGTTTTTTGTTTTTTGTTTTTTTTTTTTGTTTTTTTTTTGTTTTTTTGGTGGTGTTAACATTTACTTATTTTGACCCAATATATTTTAGTTAAATGTTGCTATTGGTTTAGTTTAAGGAACGAACTGTGTTTGATAGTAATATTTGGCCTAATAAATTAGCTAAGCATGAATATGGAGAAAGAAATACGAAGAAATAAGCTCTAAAATGGGTAAACAGAATATGATTATCTACGAGTTTTTTTTTTTTTTTTTTTTTTTTTATTTGATTTACGAGCTATTACATGGGAATTCCGTGCATACCATAGGTAGTGATTTTATAGGTTTCTTTGCCGCCCAAAATAATGAAGAAATAATGTTTTAAGAATGTTATGCCTTTCTCTCTCGGTCTCTCTTTTTGGTTTTTTTTTTTTTTTTCCATCAACAATATCTTTCATTTCGTCCAGGATCGAAAGTATCGACATTTTTTCTATTTTAGAAAAAAAATAGAAATAAATTATAAAAAATATCTATTTTAATTAGACTATTTTTTATTAAATTTTATTCAACGTTTGTAATGCGATGGTCATCGGTTCGACCGATTGCTATAATCTTTATCTATTTCAACTCTCCGAATTCATAAAGCAATTTACGCGAAGGACTTTCTTTAACGGAATACATCATTTCTTGATCGATTTTTTTCATTCCCGAAGAAGTGCATATCTTACCTGGATCTTTTTCTTTTTTTTCATTTTTTTTTCTAGAGTTTTCTAACTAGAATAACCCTAATAGATAGTGGAAAATATACCGGATTGGTCGATTCAAATTGGAAATTGTCAAGCCATCCATAGGAATGGGGGAGTCTAAGGAGTCTAGCGAATTCGTTTAAAGTTTACCAAGTTTGGATATTTTAAAGAGGTCGGGGGTGGAATTTCGTCCTAATCAAGCGAAATTCAATGAAGGAAAAAATTTGGGTATCATTTCAAAAATTTTACCTAGACAAGATATGCCCTATTTACAAGACGGAAGATCCGTTGATCTCAATCTGGTCATATTGTTTAGTCTTTTTCTATCCTAAGTTGTATTGAACATTTGGTTTAATGAAGTTAAGTATCTTGTTTTTATTTTAATTTTAATTTTAATTTTATTTTATTTTATTTTATTTTAGAATGGATAATAAGAAATGGCCAAAAGTCATTTACAATGAGTCAAACGTTATTGGGAATACATACACAATATAAATTTATAAGATTTTATGGTTGCCATGTCTTTCATGCTACTTCTTTCCATTGTCACAAATTTTTGTCATGTCCTTATACTACATTTCTCCACCGTCACAAACTTTTGTATTTTATTGTGCAATAGTGGTTTAACTGCCACACTCAAATAATCAAGTCCTTTGTTAACTTTTTTTTTTTTTTTTGATAGTAAGTCCTTTGTTAACTTAGTTATATGAGTTAGTAGTTTAACTAAGTCACTTGACATGTACTCTTGAGCTATTTGCATCCCAGCCCCTCCTACTTCTTGGACAAATCTTAATTGGTTAGCTCCAATGGATTTAGTCCATTGGGTTAAGGGTATAACTCCAACAAGAGGTAAAAACATCTTCATCAATAATTTTCTTGGGATTTTTTTTTTTGTTTGCTTGATTAGGAGAAAAGTGTGAAGTGGAGGGACAAGAAGAGAGAATAAAATTAATTTGTAGAGTGAAAAATTTGTGTGAGCTCCATGGATGAAGAAAAATAAAAAATTCGCGCAGTAACGTACTGCGCCCAACATACACATAAAAAAATACGGAGTATATATATAACAACCGTTATGTTGTGCAATCGTGTGCATCATGCATGGTGCACACGATTACAAAAATGACGTCGTTTTGAGTAAAAACGCGCGTCCCATTTTAAAAAAATAATTCAGTTTCGATTCTCGTCAACAACATTATGTAAAGCTCATTCATTCTGAATATTTAGTTCATTCATTCTGGAATATAGTTCAAATTATGCACAACATAATGCTGTTGTCGGGAATCGAAACTGGTTTTTTTTTAAGTGGGACATACGTTTTTAGTCAAAACGACGTCGTTTTTGCAACCGTTTGCGGTGTGCACCATGCATGATACACACGAATGCTCAACATAATTTGCCTATATATAATGGTTTTGTCAGATTTTTTTTTTTTAAAATTCCCCCAACCCCTATTCCCCCTTTCTCTCATTGTTATTTGTAAGCTTAAAAATTAGAGCAAAAAATTCACTCTTAAAGTTATTTTGTGACGGATTTAATTGAGAGAATGTTAGTCAATAATTAGACTCGTAATTTTATGGTAAAAAATTATGTTTCATAGCTTTTATTTGTTTCAGGTTTTTCTTGGTTGGGTCTATTTTGTCCGTGCGTGCCAAGTGCAAAATGTAAAAATGACAAAATAACCTTCCCAAAACTGACCTCAACCAAGCAGGTTCCGTTGCGAAAAGCCGAAAACCGTGGGCGTTTGTGTAATTTAAGTAAAAATACAAATTAACCACGCCAAATAAATAACGAGCGACTCCCCAATTTTACACTACTGCTCGTGCATTACCCGACCGTGATTAGGGTTTCTCTTTCTCTCTCGGCTAAGGCGTTCATTACGTTCTGAAGCTTTCGAATTCACTTCCTTTTTTTTTTGTCTTTGTCGCAGCTTTAAGGCACCTGTACCGAAGCTTTACACTATGTACGGATCAAGAGGGTACGTTGAAACCCGAAACCGATTCTGTTTTATATTCATTAGGGTTTGAATTTCCAAATTAAATGATTGTGTTTTGTGGTTTTAGTTAAATTTCTGCTGTGGTTATCGGTGAAAAGAACGCGATTTTGTATCTCTTGTGGGGGGAATTCTCCCTTTGACTTTCATTCGTTTTTTTTTTAATTGCTAGATTTATTATGTTCCATTGTTGGTTACAGAATTGTTTAATTGATCTTGGGATCGATACTTGGGAAATTTTTGAATTTTCTGTGATTTTTTTTTTAAAAATTTCAAATTAGCTGACTTGTTTAATTGAATAGCAGAAATCGCAGTTTTCCTTGGAGAAATTTGATTTTTAGACCCTGGAGATGGAGATTTGATTGTGTAATTTGTGTTGTTATTAGATTAGATGAACTTAGATGTTGATTCCATAAAGGTGAGGAAAGGGTCACAAGTACTATATATATATATATATATTTTTTTTTTTGGGTGTTTTCTTTTTGTTGTTGAAAATAAGTTTACTATAACATTTATGCATGAAAAGATTCTTCTTTTTAAATGCTTATTGATCTGAACATGATTCAACAATGGTTTTCAATTCACATATGTGGGTTCAAAAAGTTTTTAAGGTGTCTATTTAAATTCTATAGGGGTTCTATCTGTAACTATTATGTCATCTAAAGCCTAATCTGGGGCTAACAATGTGGTTTTAGTACACATGGCCATGATAGAGTTCTATTTTTGAAATGCTGCTGGATCATGGATGATATTAATTTAAAGAAAAATGGAATTTCAGATGGTTTTGTTGAAGTGTGTATTATGATTCCCTTCATTACATGGTATTTTGCTTATTTTGCATGCAATTATTGTCATCAATAGAGGGTCTGGATGCATCATGATATGATCAGGTATCAGTGATTCAGTGTGCAAATAAAGCATTATGATTTGTAAATGATTCTTGTTCTCATTGCTCTTTTTATTTATTTATGTTTTTATTGGTGGTTTTACTTGCATCGAACTTTTATGTTTTTGAGATATAGAAGTTAGAGACTAGGTTTTAGGAATCATATGGGTTGGGTTTGGTTTTATTAACAAGGTTGAGTGGGGGATTTTGTCCTTTTGTGTATGAATAATTGAAGGGCCATGTTGGGGAGCGGGGGGGTTTCGGACGGGTACGAGATCGGCTCAAAGAGACCAAGAATGATGGAATCAAATCCCTACTTTGCAGTGAGCAGCGGTTCAAGTGGTTATCGTCAAGCTTACAGCTATGGAAGTGGATATCCGCCTTCAGCATTTCCTGTGGTTCGTCTGAGGGGCCTTCCTTTCAATTGTGCAGAATTTGACATTTACAAGTTCTTCGCTGGCCTTGACATTGTCGATGTCTTCCTGGTCAACAAGAATGGACGGTTTTCTGGGGAGGCTTTTGTTGTCTTTGCTGGACACATGCAAGCTGAGCATGCCCTTCAGAGAGATCGTCAGAACATGGGGAGGAGGTATGTTGAAGTTTTCAGGTGCAAGAAACAGGATTACTATCAAGCTATATCTGCTGAGGTGAAGGACACAGGTGTTGAAAATGATTACCACGGTTCTTCCCCTCCACATCGACCTAAGAGGACCCAGAACAAGGATCAGATGGAGTATACTGAGATATTGAAGTTGCGTGGGCTTCCATTCTCTGTAAAGAAAGCAGATATTATCAAGTTTTTCGGTGGGGATTTCAATTTGACAGACAACAAAGTTCACATTGCATACCGACCTGATGGGAAGGCTACTGGAGAGGCATATGTAGAATTTCCCTCATCTGAGGAGGCCAAGAATGCCATGTGCAAGGACAATATGATGATCGGATCAAGATACATCGAGCTATTTCCTTCAAGTCAGGATGAATCAAGGAGAGCCGAGTCTAGGTCAAGACAGTAATGCCGAGGTCTCTCAAATGGAGTAATATGAAATCTTTTTATTGCTCAAAAGCCATTTAGTGCTTTCTTTTTGGGGCTGACCTTTCAGCATTTGTTAAAAATTTACCATTCCCATGTTTGGTGGATTTTATTACTGTATTTCCTAAAGACAAGTGTAGTATTTTTATAGAAAATTCAGTAAACTCCTGGATATGTAGGTTTGGTTAACTTGCTGCAGCTTTGCTGTTTTTCTCCAGTTTAATTTTTATCCACTGGCATCCTTTCTTCCCTGTCAATATGAGGATTTGACACCCTTGATCTCCATAGTTCATTTGCACCTACTTAAATCTTTGATGTTTCAATGTGAAACCCCCTTACACTGGTCAGTTTTGTACCCTGTCAATCTCACATCCCTCAGAAACCATAAAACTCAGAGCAGGAGAAAATAACGTTTGTTTCACTGATGATTGGTGTTTTTTTGGTGACAAGGTTATAATAACCCAGTGGATTCGTTTGTTTCACTGATGATTGGTGTTTTTTTGGTGACAAGGTTATAATAACCCAGTGGATTCAGTCTTCCTAATATGTGCACTAGGTAAATTATGTCGTTACTAAGAATGTGCACTAGGTAAATCATATTAGGAAAACTGAATTATAGCCCGCAAATCACAGTAGGAAGACTGAATTATAGCCCGCAAATCAAAGTGATAAAATCATATTAGGAAGGCGGAATCATGCTTCGTCCACTGATTTGAGAATGTGCAATCATATTAGAGCATCTACAATGGTGGAGTTTTTGTAAGTGTGATTAGGAAAGAGAATATGGGAGGAAAGAGAAAAAAGAAAAAAAAAATTAATAAACAAAACTGTTTTTAAAAATATAAATAAATAAATAAATAAGCATGTCAGGCGCGCTAACAAGCGCTTGACGCGCCACCCAGGCGCGTGCACTCTTGGCATGGCTTTGCTGTGCAGTTGCTTCTCTCTTCATTTATTTCTCCTTGCAGGAGGAGCTGACCCACTCTCTCTTATTTCTCACTCCGCCATGTGACCTACTCAACCTAAAAAATCGTGAATAAACCTCAAATGATCTACTGAAGACTGAATCCACTGTCCGAGAATGTGCAATCATATTAGGAAGACTGAATCATGCTACATCCACTGATTCGAGAATGTGCACTAGGTAAATTATAGCCCGCAAATCACAATGATTAAATCATATTAGGAAGACTGAATCATGCTCCATCCACTGATATCGGATGCTATGGATAATAAAAACAAAAACCATATGTTATGCAGTTGGGGCATTCTACATTAACCAACTGCTACCTGGATTCTTCTGCATTCCAATATGCACCATTTTCTGCCTCAACTTAGATGCCTCTTCCCATTTCCCCTCTCTAGAATACATATTAGATAGAATGATGTATGGAGAATGATCACTGGGATCAATTTCTGCTACTTTCCCAGCACATTTTTCTGCAATCTTGACATTTTCATAATTCCTACAAGCATTCAGTAATGTTTTCCACGCGAAAACACACCCACCATTCTCTACTAGTTCATACGCCTCCTCGAGCCTTCCCACACGACCAAGCACATCAATCAAGCAGGCATAATGCTCGGATTCCGGTTTCATATTATACCTCTGATTCATCATCAGCTTGAAGAAAAACAAACTCTCTTCTACCAGACCTGCATGACTGCAGGCTGATAGAACTGTTAGGAAGGTGATCGGGTTCGGGGCAAATCTCATACTTTCCATCTCTTGGAAGAGTTGGATCGCCATGTGGGCGTTTCCTTCTCGTGCAAATCCAGAGATTAGGGAGTTAAGCGCTACCTCGTTTGGCTCTCCCTGCTCCTCGAAAGCCTTCTCAGCGTCCTTCACGCTTCCACATTTGGCATACATGTCCACAATAGAGCTCCCGACATATACATCTCGGTTATAACCTAACTTACAAATAAGGGAATGGAACTGCTTTCCCATATCAACTGCCGCGATCTTTGCACAGGCAGTGATGCCTAATGGAAGGCTGAAACGTGTTGGGGGTTTATCATCCGCTAACATCTCTTTGAACATTCTGAGAGCTTCGAAATCAAACCCGTTCTGATGGTAAATTCCAATCAGGGAACTCCACGAAACTTCATCCTTGTGAGCAATGCCCGTGAAGGCTTTACGAGCACTCTCAATGTTCTCACAGTCGGAGTACATTCTAACGAGAGCATTCCCTATGGAAGTCTCGTAGCCTTGGCGTAATTTCACTATCGAGCAGTGAACCTGCACGCCCATGGCTAGATCCGAGGCGCTCTTGCAGGAGTTTATAACAGCGATGAAAGTTGCTTCGTCGGGAGTTAACACACTATGATTCAGTTCTCGTAACAGGCTGATGCACAGGGAAGCGCCCCCGGATTCCATTTGAGCATAACACATAATCATTGTATTCCATGCCACAATATCTTTGTTCCCCATACCTCTAAATAGCTTCTCAACCTCGCATATCTCGTTGGCACCTGCATACAGATTGATGAGGCCACTGCCCACGAAACAGTCCTTCTGATAACCGTTCTTGATTGTTTGCGAATGGATTTGAACGCCAGTTTCAAGCTCACCGATCTCTCTGCAAGCTCTTAAAGTACTCGACAAAACATGCTGATCTGGTTTCACACCTTGAGAAAGCATGTTCTTGAACAGTAAAACAGCATTCTTCTCTCTGCCACTTCTCACATGGCCAGTCACCATTGAACTCCATGAATATCCATCCTTTACTTCCATTGAATCAAAGATCTTCTTCCCAGAGCAAAGATCCCCACACTTACCATACACATCCACCAAAGCACTACCAACTACAACGTCCCCGTCGAATCCAAACTTCAAAGCAAGACCATGAACTTGCTCCACATCTTCTATCAAACAACAACACTTGAGAAGACTCGTTAATGTAAAATCATTTGGCCTCAACTCATCCACCTCCCTCATCTCTGGAAACAATCTCAAGACATTATTAACATCCCCAGCCTGTGCAAACCCAGACATCATTACATTCCATAGAACAAGATCCCTCCCTGACAGCCTATCAAACACACGAAATGCATCACTCAAACTGCCTATCACTTTTCTATACAAGTCCACAAGAGTGCTCCCTGTATACTCATTATCAGCAAGCCCATACTTAACAATCAGACCATGAACTTGCTGCCCCAATTCAATCAAACAACCAGTGGTACAAGCCCGGACCACGACTGAAAACGTGTACGGGTTTGGACTCTCATTTGCCTCGAGCATTTGTTTGAATAAACCCAACGCTTCTTCAGGAGCACCGTAGCGAATGCAAGATGAGATCAATGACGTCCACGTAACAACGTTTCTGTGAGGCATTTGACCGAACACTCGGTGGGCACTGCACAAATCTCCGCATTCTGAGTAGAAACTCAACAGAGTGTTTGATATGTGGACTTGAGGATTGGCGTGCGCCTTGAGTAGATTAGCGTGGATTTGTTTACAGAGCGTGATTGATTTGGACTTTGAGTGTTTTTGGAGCAGCAGAAAAATGGGTTCCGGATGGGCTAAAGTGTGGCAAGTTTGGGTGATTAGTTTGACCGCCGGCCGGCGAAGCATTTTACTTCGGCGGCGTTAATGCGATCAAGTTTCCTACCTTTTCTCTACATAGTACATATGAATGATGAATAGATTCGCTTCAATCCTTCTACGCTTACCTTTGACCTCTGCTAAGGTAGGTAAAACCGTTAGAAGTTTGGGTAGGAGTTATTTATTTATTTATTATTATTATTATTATTATTATTATTATTATTATTATATAATTTCAGAAGGATTAACTAATTCATTGTTCCCCAAAGGTTAAATCCCTAACTTCAAATGCCCACATGTCTCGGCCCGACAGAGCATCTGGGAGGATGTAGATCATGGAAACTCAGGTGAACAGACTCAATCCCGAATCATTATTTCCAAATTTTACCCATGTGACCAACTGAACTGTCCTTGCGAGCAAAATTAACTAATTCAGGACAATAAACATTATAATTTTTTTAAGGTAAAAGAAAATGCTCATTAATTTGAAGCAAACGCATCATCAACAAATGGAGGGGGACTATCAGTCCAAACTCTATAACTCAACTAATAACCCGAAACTCTAGCTATAGAATGAGCAACAAAATTAACCAAACGTTTAATAGAAGTAACACGAAATATATCAAAATGTCCCCTCACACATTGGAACGTAAAATGTATTATAGGGAAAATTAAAATTTATGCCCCTAATAAATATGTCAATTATCAATGTTACTCCTGAATTATTAGTCGTGTAAATGTTGCTTCACAATTTTCAAAACTGACTTATATCTATCAAGTGTTTGTGAAATGACTGAGAAGGGCAATGGCACTATGGCAGAGGGCAGCACTGGGGTACAAGACGCTCAAGTACTTCTCAAGTTCATGGAGTATCAATCACCACAAATTCTCACAGATTTTGAAGATAAGTATCCTTGCAATGCTAATGCTAATGTAACATGCATAGTTGCTTGCACCTTACATTTTTCACTTCAAAGAACACATTGCACAAAGGGGAATGAGAAACCGAATAGTGAGAGGAGAAGGCACTAATAAGTAGTACATAAATACTCAATGTACAGTTATGGGACATGAAGTGCGAAATTTGATATTACAAGCTAGGTGTGTGAAACTAGAATGCAATATAAGCTTGTGTTCCTTACTCCATGTACAAAATTGTCTGGTGGATGATGAGTCTTGACAATGAATTTGTTTCGTTTCTATGAAACGCTTAAAACACTTTTTTTTTTTTTTTTTGTAGCACTTGAATTGACCCGTCGGTGTGTGTGATCTTCAATCTTTTTAGCTACCATGTTCACAGTTGAAAAGGTGAAACAATTTCTGGGTCATTGAACAGCAGCCTGTAAATACAAAAGCAAGCTGCAGGTCAGAGAACAAATTATCCAAGTGTAAAGGCCAATTTCCATGAAGCTAAGTACTGTGATATTTACCCTCCTTCATTCCCTTCAGTACAAGGGAAGCAATTCCTCATATTACAACTTCATGATTAGAGAAGCCTCTACTGAAAGCACGTAAGCTTTTTTCATAAAGTTGCTTTAAGAGATCCGTGTAGCACTATATGTCTATATAATGTTCGGAGTGAACTGTTCTACTTAAAGAGTAAGAAAATTGGATGTGTCAGCTATTGTTGCCACATGCTCAATTCAAATAACCCTTCATTTCAATCTAAACGAATTCCATTTCTCCACTCAATATAAACACCTAAATCCATTTTTTTTTAAAGTGGGGTAGGCTAAATGGATATTTCGGCAGTCAATGCTGTGATGAAACATGAAAAAGAAAACTCGATTGTATATTTGTATCCAAAGAATTTCTATTTGGAGGGACTTTACCATTCCATTATGTCTTCCAGTAAAGGAATGGTGGAAAGCAGTCAAATCTGGATCAGTCTTGTGCTTGTCCCAAGCCGCTTCAAACTGTGAACCCTTAGATCTTTGGAGCCAAGGGGAACAGAGAAAATTAAAAATTAAAAAAAAAAAAATTTAAAAAAAAAAAAAAAAAAAGAAGAGAGAGAAGAAGCACAGCAAGTATGAATTAAAGAATATGGGCAAAGCATAATATAGATGTGAAAAGCGTAGGGAGATGCCAGTAAGTACTGATGCATCAACGTTAGTATCTGAATAATAAGTGATCTGATATCTTCACGAGCAGTTCTCATTGCTGCTTCCTTGTATAGAGCGACAAGCTCATCCACTAATCTGCAAGCCACACGTGCATGACCATTAATAAAATAGTTCAATAATTACCTCTGTAATAAATCTGAGAAGGAAGTCTGCATTCACCAAATAGTGCACCTTATGTGTGAAAACATATGGGAGTGATGTATTTGGCTCATTTAGTATAAAAAATAATAACATACCACAACATATATCCAAGATAATGAAAATATAATTGAAGACAAGAAACGTATATATTAAAACTTTGTATACCTAGATAACAAGAAAGCAATTATCTATCATCTTTTCATATTACCAAACAATCTACATCACTAAGTTGAACTTAAACAGAAATTCTCTTTTTGTCGACAGACTAAAATTTGGGTAAAGCATTCTTCAAGCCAAAATTATGATTGTGGAAATTGTTTTCCTTCAAAACAATGTTGAAATAACTTATCTAAATGCCAAAGATTAATAGTGATTATTAAATTTAACCTTTCAGTGTATGGTGAATTCCTTATCCACGTCAATCTCAGAACTGTTTTGATACGTTCCAGAACCTGAAAGCAACGGACCGAAATTAGCATCGACATAAATACCTTAATATTAATAAAGATGGCAGAGATCTATAATATGTTCAGATCTTGCAAGTCATATATTTACTCTCAGTCTGTTACAGTATATTACTAATAAGAGGCGTCCATGAAAAGTGATCATGCCTAACTGCTATTGTACGAATAAATGCAGTGACTTCTTACCAGTAGAACAGTGTCATCATCGTTGGCGTGCATCCATCGAAAGAACAGAGGAAAAAGACGCCTGAAATGAGATAGCAGTACAAGACCAACCCCATTGAACAGTGGCTCAATGTGTTTAAGCCACGCAATACGACGCTCCTTATTTTTAGGCTGCCTTTCCAAGTGACTCAACATCTCATTCAGTAGTTTTTCATACCTTTATAAAATATGAAAACTAAATAAGATAAACTACAGAGCTAAATCTTCTAATCCACCATGATATGATGAGAGGCATCTGGAATTTGAAAATGCGTGCAACTTTGATACAAATATAAATATGTATTCATATAACACAAGCTAGGTACAAAAACTCTACCATATGCTCCGAGGATTACTTTTCTGGGTGGAAGTCACCATGAGCACTGACATTTCAACCACGTATTGCCATATTTCATCATCTGATGAAGCAATATTTTGGCAACAAGCATCAAGAATTACTTCATCAAACCAACTGATCTCAGCAGCATTCACATTTTTTGAGAGATGGATGAAGCTAATCATGCCCTGCCCCTGAAACAAGAAGTTGATACAAACTGCATTGAATATCATTGAGAAAATAATGGTGAGTATATCATTAATGAATGCCTGAAAATAGCACATAGTATACGCCTAATTAGTACAGGTAAAATAATCTGAAATTCAAATGGTTAATTCTAGCCTGTGACTGATTACACTCATTTTTAAGTACTTTTGGAACCAAAGGATAGAGGAAAAACAACCCCAGAAAGTGGAGAGCTAGGAAAGCAGTGACTCAAAACACATGCCTTTATAAAATTTAGTTCTCTCCAGAAAATTCTCAGATTCTATTTCTGTTGCCCACTGCATGCTTCCTCTCTTTTACATTATTTTCTAATACATCACACTGGCATTTATACTTCAAAGGGTAACCAACAATTTTACAGGTCAAATGATCAAAGAGACAAAGAATCTTACTTTAACTTGTTGTGACCAGTGATCAAGGGCCGTCAGGCCACAAGGAATCACCAAAGAGCAAACCTTTCCCAAATATGGATAGTTCACCTATAAACATTGTCACAAGCCTTTAAACAAATTCAAATCAGAAGTTGGAATTAATTAGAAAACAAAAACAAACAAACAAAAAATCATTAATTTTAGAAAGACTAACCTTGGTAACAGGACTTTCAACTAAATCAAATGAAAATTGGGTAATAATAAGAGAGAGAGAGAAATCAAAATTTTGAGAGAGACGAACCTGTGTAACAAACCATTTGAACTGGTGAGCGGCAACAATTGCATAAGCCACCGGAGTTCTGGCGCTAGCAGCCGAAAACTCATCAGTATCAATCGACTTATCAATCGCACTCTCCTTAATTCTATCCTTAAGCGAAGGCAAAACCCGAGGCATTAACTCAACCAGTAACCTCACGTCATTCGGCATAAACTTCAAATCAAACTCGAATTCCCCAACTTTCATAGACTCTGTCGCGCCAAAACAGCTCGAATAGGCTTCCGCAAGCTCCCTGAAGGCCGTGACAGCGGCGACAGATAGTGAATTTGGGACCCACAGGAGCTCACTGTAAGTGGACTCCGAGGCGGCAGCCAACGCCGCACAGCATAGCACAAAGTCACTGATTTTGGCTTTGGTTTCGACGTCGGAGATCTCGGAGTCCAGAGGAGAGCTCCGGCGAGGAAGAAGGGACTCGAGAGTGGACTTAATGTTGACATTGGAGCCTTCCGGAGGAGTATAGGTTGCTGGGGAGAGAAAATCTCCTATTCGTTCCGATAGTCTGGCATGGATACAAGGAGTAGATGATTGAATGAGTGTAATGAGAGAGAAAGCGAGAGGAGAGATTGAGCTTACTGAAAGAGGTGATGAGAGAGAGGCTTCGACATTGCTGGACCCGTTTAAGCTTCGTTTCATCGGTGGCGGGTGAAGCGGGGAAAGTGCATAGAAAGTATTCGTATGTTGGGCCTCCGTTAATATGTAGGCCCTATACAAAGCTAATACATAAGTATACGAGTATATCATCACAAATCTATGATTATGAATTACATGACAATGCCCGCATGGGTAGCTCAACTGGCCATAGAGGTAAAATTTTGGAATAATGACCAGGGATCGAGTCTCACCAACGGCAGTGTAGGAGCAACCTCTCAAAGTGAGGGGGGCTTCTTGTGAGCAGTGAGCACCGGTCTAGCCTTTATGGTTCATGTTCAGTTGAGTCACCATGATTTACATCCTCCAAATGCTCTGTCGGGCCGGCATGATTTACATCCTCCAAATGCTCTGTCGGGCCGGGATGTGGGGGGCCATGTTCAGTTGAGTCACCATGCAGTGAGCACCGGTCTAGCCTCTATGGTTCATGTTCAGTTGAGTCACCATGATTTACATCCTTCCAAATGCTTTGTCGGGCCGGGATGTGGGGGGCCATGTTCAGTTGAGTCACCGGTCTAGCCTCTATGGGTGTGGGGGGCCATGTTCAGTTGAGTCACCATGCAGTGAGCACCGGTCTAGCCTCTATGGTTCATGTTCAGTTGAGTTACCATGATTTACATCCTCCCGAATGCTCTGGCGGGCCGGGGTGTGGGGGGCCATAACAATATTAGGATTGGGGTTCAGCCTTTTAGAATAATGAATTACATGACAATTAATCAATAACTACACAACCAAAATTCATAAATATTTAACAATCAATAGCAAAACATAAGTTACATAACCAAGTAATCTCATAAATATTTAACTATCAACCTTTAACAATCAATAGCAAAACATAAACAAAGTAACATCTACCGACTACGATTAAATATTAATATAATATTTAGGAGAAGAAGATATATTAATTAGTCTTTAACAATCAATAGCAAAACATAAATAAAGTAACACCTACCGACTACGATTAAATATTAATATAATATTTAGGAGAAGAAGATATATTAATATAATACGGAGTATAACAAATTAATACAGAGTATTTAATAGTAGAATAACAAAGTTGCAGAATGCAGACACATCTTCCGTCCACCGCCATAAGGCTGCAGGGGGCAGCAGTTGGCCACTGTAGGCCGCAGCAGCCACAACAAGCCAAAGCCCGCCGCAGCCTCCACCACTCCAAACTCCAGTCGACAGTTTAAAGATACAAACATATAGTATCAGAAATTCAGACTATCAGTGTATATCACTAACCTATTGTCGCCGCTCGCCAGAGATTGACGCCAGTTGCTGGAGATAGGATGAAGTCGTCGCGGTCAGTCGATTGTCCACTTGTCCCTATGTTGCTGCGTGGAATAGAAATATAGAATATGAAATTGAGGGGTAGTTTACTAACTGAAAATTTTTGAAAAATAGAGAACATAAAACATGTTTATTAGCACGGTTTCCTCTTTTGAAAACTGAAAATAATTTTTAGAAATTTCTGAAAAACTGGAACACTCTTAAAAACTATTTTCTAAATGAAAAACAGAATCATCTATCATCAATTTAGTTATATGTCACTATAACCACTGACGGTAAAAACGTTACCGGTAATAATATTAGAATAACAAATGATGTGACAAAGTAACAATAGACGTAACAATAGTTGTATTGCCTTTTGTCTCAGTATAGAAAGTACAGTGTGTCCTTGTCCAGAGTATTGAACGTGTCCCCTGCTCAGCTGAGGGAAGTTCTATTTATGCTAGGTCCTAACGGTAACAACATGAAGAGACATCTTTGGGGAGCTGAGCTAACGGCAAGAATATGAAGAGTCATGAATGAGGCGTTGAGGCTTTAACTCTCTCTCATCAATGGTGGCATCAAAGGTGGCTTCAATGACCATAAATGTGACACCTGTTGGATTCTAACAGTTGGAATTCTGCCCGTTGGGTTCCCATGTGATGCTGAGTCAGATGCTCATTTGTGATCCGGGTCGGGTGCCAGCCCTATTATCCTGTCACCAGTCCCCCCTACTCCTGAGTCAACGGATGTGTTTGAGTTGACTTGGGAGTAAGGCTGAATCTATCTTGATCCTGTGTAGAATCCTGCTTGATTTAGGATATGTGATTTTATTTGATCCTGCGTATGTGATTTTATATATATATATATATTTTAATCACATATAATTTTATTTTATTTCTTATGCTAGCCGAGATAGGCTTTGGCCTAGGTTGGCGGAGGTGCGTGCCTCTGGCCGAGGCGTCGCCTCGACCGATCGTGGCCGAGGCGTGCGCCTCGACCGATCGTGGCCGAGGCGTGCGCCTCGATCGATCTTGGCCGAGGCGTCGCTTCGACTGATCGTGGCCGAGGCGTCGCCTCGACTGATCGTGGCCGAGGCGTCGCCTCGACCGATCGTGGCCGAGGCGTGCGCTTCGACTGATCGTGGCCGAGGCGTCGCCTCGACCGATCGTGGCCGAGGCGTCGCCTCGGCTGACCGTGGCCGAGGCGTCGCCTCGACCGATCGTGGCCGAGGCGTCGCCTCGACCGACCGTGGCCGAGGCGTGCGCCTCGACCGATCGTGGCCGTGGCGTGGCCTCGACCGATCGTGGCCGAGGCGTCGCCTCGACCGACCGTGGCCGAGGCGTGCGCCTCGGCCGAACCATGGCCGAGGTGTGCGCCTCGGCTAACCATTGGCCGAGGCGCACCTCGGTCAGACTGTGGCCGAGGCGGGCTCCTCGGCCGAACTAGCCTCGGCCATCCGAGTCGAGTCACGTCTCGGCCAACCTGTGGCCGGGGCGTGCGACTCGTTCTTTTTTTTTTTTTTTTTTTTTTTTTTTTTTTTGTGGAAACAACATGGGCGCACCACAAGCACGAGATACTATTCCAAAAGATTTCAGAATGCAAAGCGGGCGGGCCGCGATTACCAAACACTAGTCCCAAACGACTACTAGAATATTAAGGAAAATACTTAATCAAATGTTCCTAGCTCCATACCCGATTGATTATCTTTACAGATGGTGTGGACTTATGGATCATTTCTGCCAATCTTTTTGCATGCTTTAACGTAACAACTGCGGGCTGCTCGCTGGTTTCCTCTGACGACCCTTATCCCATTCGGAGTAGGGAACTTCATACACAAGTGTTCCACCGACACTATGGCCTTGAGGTCCTCCAGTGCCGGCCTCCCCAAAATGATGTTGTGCGCACAAGTGAGTCTTACCACGATGAATTTCATGTCAAGTTTGCGAATGTTAGGGCTCGTGCCTATCTCCACTGGTAAGGCCACCGACCCCCCCGTCTCCACTGAATCACCCGTAAATCCAGAGAGTGGGGTACGTACTTCTTTGAGCTGGTTCCTAGGTATCCCCAACTTAGTGAAGGCATCGTAATACATCACATTGACTGAGCTTCCCGTGTTGACTAAGATGCGGCGGATAATGACATCGTTGACGTCCATCTCAATCACCAAGGCGTCACGATGGGGTAGCGGGCCCTCTGGGAGGTCATCATTAGAGAAGGTGATGGCCTCCTGTCTCTGTTTCTTTTCTCTAGGAAGACTCGCCACTTCTCCCATGTATATCTGTCGGCTCCACTTCTTTCTTTCTGCGGGCGTGTCGCCCCCTGCCGGTCCACCATAGATAAAGTGTATGGTGTGCTTCTTTTGTCGTTTGGGCGCCACCTCGGTTTCTTTCTCGCTATCACTCTGCTCAGATATTTGGTCGTGGTCTCTTTTTTTGGCGTTTGAGGTGGATGGCTCCGTGCCATCCTCATTCATCCAGACATTTTTTGGTGGATTGTGTTGCGGCTGTTGCTGCTGCTTGGATCGCTTGACGAAATGTCGGAAGTAGCCCTGCTGGATGAGGTCTTCTATTTGTCTCTTCAAAACGTGACACTCATCCGTATCATGTCCGGCATGCCTATGAAACCTGCAGTACTTTGTTTGGTCTGCCTTTGGGGAGACCTTCATGCACTCCTCGGGGAATTCTACCATTCCCATCTCCTCAGCTTGCTTTAGAATGACACTGACGGGATGGGTAAGAGGAGTTAAATTACGCAAGGGGACTAGGCGAGGTCGTTCGTAGTCTCGGCCCTTCCCTGCGGTCGGGTGGATCGAGAGTGGTGCCTGGCTGGGCGGACCAGCTTTCCCAGGTTTCCCGTTTTTCCTGTTGTCCTCCTCATCTTTCTTTTTCCTGTCGACGTCCTCTGCCTCGGCATAGCGGCTAGCCGTCCTCATCAAATCTTCGTAAGAACGGGGGTGGTGGGCGTTCAGCTGCTTGTGGAAATACCCTGATCTTAAGGCATGGATAAATATTGGGATCGCCGCCCTGGAGTCGAAGTCGTAGACATTACTGACTTCCTTTTTCCATTTGACCAGGAAGTTTTTTAGGCTCTCGCCTCTATCTTGCTTCACTACACAGAGGTGAGAGAAGGGTTTCTTACGCTGTATGCTACCAGAGAAGTATGTTAGGAAGCTCTTGGACAACTCCCCAAAGTTTTGGATCGACCCATCTGGGATGGTGTTGAACCAGTCTTGGGCCGCTCCATCCAGGGTGGACAAGAACGCTCGGCACATGATGGCGTCCCCTGCCCCGATCATTACCATAGCAGCCTTGTACCTCGTCACGTGGACACGTGGGTCAGTGGCCCCCGTGTACTCCTTGATAGCGGGCAACCTAAAGTCCCTCGGCAAAGGTACGTCCATGATGCTTGGGGAGAATGGTGCTGTCATCCGTACCTCGGGTTCCGGCGACTGCTCTCGTGCCTCCACCCTTCTTGCTAACTCCTCGATTCTTCTATGCAGCCTCTCGACCAGGGCTGACTCGTCAGGGTGCCGGCGCGGGGCCGGCTGCCGCTCCTCCATGTGTCGTCGTGGAGCTAGTTCATCAACGCGTCGCTTTCCCGCCGAGTGCCGTCGCGGAGCCGGCTCTTCGACGCGTCGCTCCTCCAAGTGTCGACGTAAGGCCGACTCATCAACGTGTTGGCGTGGGGTCGGCTCCTGAGACTCGCCCACCTCCTCTGTGGGTGATCTCTCGGCTTCTCTGTTTTCGTGTTGGCGAGGACCTCTGGTAGAGGATCCCTCGGCCCGTGATCCTAATCTTTGCCGCACGGGCGCCCTTTGTCCCAGTCGTTCTGGTGCAGATTGGGAAGGGCCTAGTTGTCGTCTGGCCGGTGCACTTCTTTGGGTCTCCACCCTTGTTTCCTGGGGCCGCGGCGGGGGCACTTGACCTTGCAGTCCCACCGCCACCTGATTTAGCGCCGCCGTCACTGCTTGCTGAATGACATCGGCAGTCGCCTGGAGGTTCATGACTTGGTTTGCCCCTCCATTGTGGGGTTGGTCTCGGAGGTCTCCTCCATTGTTGAGTTGGTCTCGAAGGTCTCCTCCATTGTTGAGTTGATCTCGAAGGTCCCCGGGCCTCCCGTTGTTGAGATGTTCTCGGAGGTCCCCTCCGTGATTGTTTGTGAGTAGGTCACGGAGGTCACCTGAGGCGTTGCCATTGTTCACGTTGCGAGAACCGTGGGAGCTGCGGGACGCCATTCTTTCAAGGTTGCTGTTGAAAGAGAAAAAGAGTTGTGTTGTAGCCTGCTTGAGTATTGGACTCAGGCTCTCAATGAAAGCACCAATGACGGTAAAAACGTTACCGGTAATAATATTAGAATAACAAATGATGTGACAAAGTAACAATAGACGTAACAATAGTTGTATTGCCTTTTGTCTCAGTATAGAAAGTACAGTGTGTCCTTGTCCAGAGTATTGAACGTGTCCCCTGCTCAGCTGAGGGAAGTTCTATTTATGCTAAGTCCTAACGGTAACAACATGAAGAGACATCTTTGGGGAGCTGAGCTAACGGCAAGAATATGAAGAGTCATGAATGAGGCGTTGAGGCTTTAACTCTCTCTCATCAATGGTGGCATCAAAGGTGACTTCAATGACCATAAATGTGACACCTGTTGGATTCTAACAGTTGGAGTTCTGCCCGTTGGGTTCCCATGTGATGCTGAGTCAGATGCTCATTTGTGATCCGGGTCGGGTGCCAGCCCTATTATCCTGTCAACCACATTACTATGATTGCATTCATTATCATCTTATTTTGCTTATCATTATCTACCATATTTTCTACTCACTTTACTTATTTAAACATAACTTATTTGCTTACACTTTAAAGTTAGACATTATTTACATTATCAAAATTAAAAATTAAATTCTATATAATATTTTAAATTTTAATTGAACTCAATAGATTATTAATTCAAATATTTATACACATGAACCATTTTCATAGATAATTTATTACTGAAGGCAATATTTATTCAATTTTTCTTTTTTCCCCCCACAAATCAAACCGACGTAACAATTTGGGTGTTATCCGATGACATTCTAAAAGTCAAACTGAGAGCAAATAGGTCAAAAACTAGTCACATAGAAGCAGAAGAGAGAGAGAGAGAAAGAGACAATAAATACACTTTCTCTCTCCCTCTCTCGGGGAAGTGACAACTGAGACTCCCTCTCTCATGCAAACCCAAAATCTCCCATAGATTCTCTCCATTTCTTCTCCCCTTTACTCCCCTCTCCCGCATTTCCCTCTTTCACTAAACTCCCCCTTATCTTCTTTATGTATGTAAATCTAAAATCTCCATGGCTCCACCTCAGACTCGCATTCTCCGAGCTCTTGTCGTTTACATCAATTCCATGTACAAAGGTAACGCCTTTTCTTCTCCCTCCCTTCATTAACTGCAAAACCTTGGAAAGGGTCTGCGTCGAAATTCATAAATAACCGAAATCGCTCGCTGCTTTTTTAGTTTTACCAGCTGAATGATTGGTTTTATTCGTTGAATTTGTGTTCTTTTGCGCGCAGAGATGTTCCGGGCGGTGCGTGTTTACCGGATAACCGGAGGGAGTGAAGAAACAGAGGAGAAAGAATACCTGCTCGGCAATCGGAAAGATAAGAGCTTTGGGGAAAATGGAGGGTCCAGAGTGCTAACATTGTACGGATTCGATGTTTCAGAGCAGCGCGCGGGGGTTAACAATGGCGTCTGGAAATGCGTTTATGTGTTCGACTCTCTCCGCACCCAATCTCCGCTTGTTGATTTCTGTGACGAATGGATTCCGATTTCTCAGTAAGCTGAACTGAACTTTTTTTGTGTTGGATTGTTATTGTTTATTAACTTTTTGATGTTCATAGTTTTCTGTTTTTTTGCCTTTATTTGTTTTAATTTGGCTGTGAATTTGAAGTCTGTATGGATAGTAATCACTAATCACAGTGAAGGAAGGGGATAATAGTGTGTGTGTGTGTATATATATATATATAAATATATATGAGCAATGTAATGTTCCTAATGCCAACAAAATAAAAAGCAAGAAACCTAATTGTGTTTGTTTCTATGTTCTTCTTACTCGAAATAAGTATGTAGCTATCTATGATTTGTTGATGGTTGAGTTATTTGTAATGTATAGATGTGTAGCCTTCTCTCATTCTAGTTCGTATGCTACCTTGCATTGCGTGATTAAAATTGTTACTATAGTAGGCCAATCTTGCTCGATTGTCCTAAATCATGTAAGTGATGAGTATAAATTACATAAAGCTCCATTAATGGATGCTTGCTAAGAATTCATATATTTGCATGTTCGATTCGATATTTATGAAGAATGAAGAGATATATATACCTTGCATTGCTAATAAAGGAGGTAGACGGGTAGTTCTCCAAATAGCAAGCAATAGTTATGGATCTATGGTATATCTAAAGGCTTCTTTTGAAGTATCTAATCCGTGTTTATCCACTCTATACCATATTAGCTTGATTATTCAGTGTTGTAAAAATCGACCTATGCGTCCGCCTAGATGCCCCTAGGCTGAGGGGATTTTACCCTTAGGCGGGCATTAGTCGGTTGACTAGGTGGCCTAGGCGCCTGAGTCGGCCAACTCGGGCAAGTTGTTGTTCTTTTTTTTTTTTTCTTGGGTGTGCAATATGTTTTTTTATTATTACTTGCACGCCTAGGCGCCCCTAGGCGCCCGACTAGCGCCTTCTACAACATTGTTCCATATTGCACTCGTGTATATATATATATATATATATATATATATATGACGTCTTTGTTGATTTACATCCTCCCAAATGCTCTGTCAGGTCGGGGTGTGGGGGTCCTTAGGGTTGGGGTTCAACCTTTTGGAAGAATATATGACGTCTTTGTGCATCCTGACGGATTTTCTACAATTTCTTTAGTTTTTGTAATTTGGGGATAAACCCGTTCCAAATCCTTGCTAACTCAAATTCAACTTTAAATTTCGTAGCCTTCATTTCAACTCCATGCTCTAATTTCTGACGCCATTCCTAAATTTTTGTCTCTAGAAATTGTAGATTGGTTTTCCACGATTTGGTTAATGATCTGCATACCATATCAAAGCTTGCTCGGAGTGCGGAAACTACAGATTCAGAGCAAAGTCTCCTCACCGAAGCATGTAGTAGCAAGAATTTTAGTAAGCACCCAATGGAAATGACAACCAGTGTTCGTTTTCTGGATCTAAACTCTATACCAGACTCCGATGCTGACGAGAATAATGGCATATCAGGTAAACTTTGATGTCAGAAAATGCTCGTTAATTTCTGAATCATTTACATCTAAATAGTTTCCCTTATTTGCATATATTATGCAGCGATATGATCTCATGCTGGCATTAGTAAGTACTTGATTTAGAAAAAAGTCGAGAATGATGAGAATTGATGTTTATCTCCTAAATCGTGAAAGTACTTTCCATTGTTTAGAAAGTAGAAACCGATGTTTAAATACCGACCTGCAATATATTGAACTACGAGTTTCTTATCTGCTAGGCTAATTCAAGAGCATTACTAAGTATTGATCTTATGGCATGTTTGGTTCATGGAATAGGTCAGGAATGGAATAACATTCCTTAGAAATTAGAATAGACCTATTCCATTGTTTGGTATGATCATTTTTCATGGGAATAATATTCCTAGGAATGAGCTATTACCTTTGCAAGGGGAATAGCCATTCCTAGGGGGGCCTTGGTATTAGCTATTCCCATGCCTTGGGAATAGCTTTTATTGTTTGCAAATACCATGATTTGCATAACGGTTCTGTAGTGTACACGTTTTAACTGTATGTGAACCAGTGTTGAAAAAGACGCTAGGCGCCCATTTTTTTTTTTATTAACTTTTTTTTTTTTTTTAGGTTATTCGCCAAAACCGACGTCGTTTTGGCAAATAACCTTTAAAAAAAAACCCGGGTTCGGCCGCCTAGATCGCGGAGGAGGCCGATTCCGGCGTTCCTCGACGCGGCCTAGGCGCGATTTTTGCAACATTGATGTGAACGAGGTTAAACATGGGAGATTGTTGGTTATGACTTGTGTAGAACCTAAGAAACGAAGGGCAGCACCCGAAGATATAGCAAGGATTGCTTTGGAAGATCTCGCCAAGTATTTTGACCTACCAATTACCGAAGCTTCAAAAAGCCTGAAAGTCGGGCTTACAGTACTCAAGAAGAAGTGCAGAGAATTCGGTATCCCTCGGTGGCCACACAGAAAGATCAAGTCTCTGGATAGACTCATTAGTAACCTACAGGTCTGTTCTCTTCGGGTTTATACACGTTCACCATTACTCCTGTAATCCGTCTCGTTTTGCAATTCACGAAATGCACGAAAATCTGCAGGAAGAGATGCAGCAGCAACGGGAGGAGGACGAGGCTACAGCCATGGCAGTGTCGAAGAAGAAACGGATGATAGAATTCGAGAAGAAACGGATAGAGAAGAAGCCCTCGATGGACATACGAGAAGAAACCAAGAAGTTTAGACAAGACGTTTTCAAGAGAAAGCACAAAGCCAGAATTCTCGAGAGGGAGAGCCAGAACCGGAATAACGCAACTTTGTCATTATCATAAGATTGATCTTCACTTTTTTTTTCCTTTCATTTTCTTGTGTTTTCTTCTTCTAGTATTTATGGATGTCCTGTTTTGTGCATTTGTTTCATATTTGTGTAGTATGTTTGGATGAATGGATAAGATGTTGAGTTAAAATTTTGATTTTTTAAAAAAGAGTAAGTTTTGTGTAACACCATCTCACTCGAGATCTGTAATACTTTTTAATCAAAACATACTTTGTAAGGACCTACGAAAAGTATTACATTTTAGTTAAAATAATTACAATTTCATGATTTCACACAAGAGCTGCTTTTTAAAAAATCGTTAGCACCAAAAAAAAAAAAAGTTACTGCCCCTTATTAGACGACACAAAAATTGTTAATTTTGGTCATGTTGTGCTAAGGGGTTGGGTTACGAGAGTCTCGAGCTTCTGTTAATAAATGAATTAGTGATATTTGATTATTTGACTTACTGAATATCATAACTCTAATATAATGTAAAATTACTTCGATTGAAAATAATTTTTTTTTTTTTCCCGAAATAATTGGAAGGTGCAAAATGATTGCATATTGCCGGTTTTGAATATTCAAAACCTAATTTATTGAATCCATGTGCGTATTGTATTTAACTTCAAAAGGGACTATTTCGCAAAGGTCAAGGTTGTCCCCGTCGTTGACGTCCAAAAATAAATACCCTGGTCTTTTATTATTTTTATTTGGGAAAAGGGTGAAATAGACTTTGAACTTTAGTTTAAAAGTTAATTAGACTCTTAAACTTTTTAAATGTTCAATTACACCCACTAACAATTCATTTAGGTGCAATGAAGCCCAAAAACAAGTTAATGATTTGTTAGGTCATTAGGGTTCACGCCACCTTTCAACGAAATTTCCAGCAAAAAAAATATGATTGGCGACCAACTGGCGAAATTTCCGACAAAAAAAAGGTGACCGGCGACTGGCAATATCTCTAGCAATCTTAAGATATTGCTTAACAATAAAATCAACATACGAAAACGAACAAATACGTTCCCAATATCACTAGTAATCTTAAGACATTGCTTAACAACAAAACCAACATGCGAAAAGTCCAACGAGTACTAAAAAAAAAGAAACTAAACTCCGTATTTAGCATTTTGTCTTATCATAGAATGATTGTTTTATGAGTTGCAGTTATAAGGATATTTAGTCCTTTTTATTTTACCGCAGAAATGAAATTGCATAAAGAGGAAGTTTCCCGGGAAGAAAAAGGTTCATGACTTTCAAGTTGACTGCTTCCAAGCCTTTCATGTCTACGGTCTACCCTTTTCGTTGTTATTATTATGATTTTTATAAGAACAAATTTGGTTATAATTCAAGAACACCCTCGTCGCCGCTCATGTCGCTGCATTTGATCACTGTTGGGAAGGAAAGATGTTGGAATAGCAGAAGAGTGTGGTGAGGATAAATGGGGAATTGCTTTGGATACAAGAAAACTGCAGATTCTGTTAATCCTAGCACCACTACCCCCCATACCTCTTCACTCAGGCCTTCCACTCCAGGTTTTATTCTTTCTCCTTGCTAAAGTTTATCTCTTTTTGGTGATTTCCTAATTCTGGGTATTCAAAGTTTCATGCTTTTCCATGGTTTCTTGGTTGTTAATTGTATACATGTATAGTTAAGGAAACTTCTGAGATGGTGTGGGTGAAACTCTAGACAAAGGATCATTTTGAGTGAAACTCTAGATAAAGGATTACGAGGAGTTAAACTAATCTAGGTAGGCCAATAAGCAGTTCTCATGGCGAGTTGAACTTGAAATCTTGTGGTTATTAAGTCAACTCTCCAATTAACTTGACTAGAATTGTCCCGAAGTTAGTTTTTCTTTTTTTGGTGATGACCCGCAGTCACTATCTCGAAGGTGCGCACCGGGTAAAACCTGTATTGTGACCCGACTAGGTAAACTAGTCTAGGTTACTCATATCTGACCGGTTTAAACTAAGAAGGCTAATAGGCTGTTCCTATGGAGAGTTGAACGAAATTTTGTGGTTATAAAGCTAACTGTCTGACGAACTCGCTGGAGTTGCCCCCGAAGTTAGCTTTTCTTGAGATGATTGTAGTTTGTAGGCTGTGATTTCAAGAATTTGCATCTTTATTTTTTTGGCAAAATTGAGAGAGAGTAATGGCCTTATATAGTCAATATTTTTGCATATAGGGACTTCAACAAGCTGGCTTTCAACAGTGGGCAGTGACAATACATCTGCAAATGGAGAGATTTTAGCCTCAGCAAATTTGAAAATTTACAGTTTTGCTGATTTGAAGTCTGCTACTAGAAATTTTAAGCCTGATTCAGTGCTGGGCACAGGGGGTTTTGGGACAGTGTTTAAAGGATGGGTTGATGAGAACACGCTTGCACCGTCTAAACATGGCGTTGGAATTACTGTTGCCATCAAGAAAATGAACCCTGAAAGTACACAAGGATTTGAGGAGTGGCAGGTACTACAATTCCCCATTTTCTTCATTCTTACTTCTGTGATGTAATCATAGATCTTTGGTGTCAAAAAGATCCACTTCAAGTAAAATACTTCTGTTCATAGAATATGTTCCTCCGTGACAGATACATTACAGAACATATTTGAGCATAATATATAAAAATATAAATGTGTAGTCTCACTATCAACTGGTTCCACCTATCTGTTTAATGTTCTTAAACCCTTTCTTATGGAATTCTGTCGTTTGTGACATGAAAAACATTTTGTGACAGTTTTGTCTATCCCTTTTCTTTCATTAGCGATTGTTGTTGGATGTTGAGAATGATGGTGTTTAATTATTTGGTCTGGAATGCAGTCTGAAGTAAACTTCTTAGGAAGGCTTTCACATCCTAATGTGGTTAAGTTATTGGGGTACTGTTTTGACGATAACGAACTGCTACTAGTGTATGAGTTTATGCAGAAGGGAAGCTTAGAAAACCATCTTTTCAGAAGTAAGGACTTTCGTTTCACAAAACCCAAACTGATGAATAAAATGGTGGGTGCACTGCTCTAACGGTTTTCCCCTGCAGGAGCTATGGAACCGCTTTCTTGGGAGATACGGCTCAAAGTCGCCATAGGAGCTGCAAAGGCTCTAGCATTTTTGCACACTTTGCCTAGAAAAGTCATTTACAGGGACTTCAAGACCTCCAACATTCTTCTTGACGGGGTATGATTCTGTGAACTCGTTTTTTTACCGTAGACTGCAGGAACGGATATGGTGTTGGCTGCGTGCATATATTTTTTGTTGTTGTCGTGATTCTTTGTGCTGTTTTTGCTTTATAGAATTACAATGCAAAAATCTCGGATTTTGGCTTAGCTAAACTGGGACCTTCTGCTGGAAATTCACACATTACAACCCGAATAATGGGCACATATGGCTATGCTGCACCAGAGTACATTGCAACAGGTAAGACAAAACACGTCCTTCAATTGTTTACTTAATACACCTCCCGGGCATATACAGTGGTGGTCATTTTAAAACGTACAGGCCATCTATATGTGGAAAGCGATGTGTATGGCTTTGGCGTGGTCCTGCTAGAAATGTTGACGGGATTGAGAGCATTTGATGCTCAACGACCCTCGGATAAACAGAACTTGGTGGAATGGGCAAAACCGATGCTGAATCAGAGAAAGAAGCTTAAAACCATAATGGATGCTTGGATGGAAGGACAGTATCATTCCAGGGCGGCCTTACATGCGTCTGAGCTTACGCTCAGATGCATAGATGAAGAACCTAGGAAAAGGCCTTCCATGAAACAAGTTATGGAAACATTGGAACAGATTGAAGCAATGGAGAGGCCCTGAGACTAAATTATGGCCTACTATTACTGGCAAGTTGTTACATACTAGTAGATTCGTTTGCTCATTACTGTAATAATTCAATGCATATGTTGTACATCGTTAAATTCAAATAATTGCATAGAGTATCGCTTGATTTACACTAAGATATTAAAAAAAGTCGATTTGTTTCAGCAGCTGGTTCATTTTTGCCTTTTACTTTCAGCAGCCAGGCCCTTGAGCCATGACACTTCCAGCAGCCAGTTTACTTGTATCTGTTGTTTGTCAAGACGTGATTGGTAACATTGTTCGGTTAAACGAGAGAGATGAAAAGTATGGAGTTAATATGAGTAATGATGCAGCAGAACCTGCAAATCAGCGTCTGGGCTGGTGGAGGCGTGGCCTGTTACAGAAAACGCGGCCATTTGCTTTCACAAATGCAGCTATTCCCATGCTTATGCTTGCCCAGGCCAGTGAATACAGCAGGTTCCAAGGATCATGTCGAACTGCAGAAACAAGCACGAAAGCAAGGTGTTATTTGTTGTTGATGTTGCAGATACATGAGAAATTGTATCAGGATGAATGCTGCTATATTGCTATATTTCCAATCATGAAAACTCACCTTGCCTTAGTGACAAGAGGGCGAAAAAGAACCCAGTGATAATCAGCGCGCAAGCCAGTGGAAATGACTGCAAAGGAGCAAGATTAGTGTTAGGTGAATCTGTGTATGAACTGTGGAAGATCATGGAAATATCAGAAACAGTTGTTTGCTACATTATTTCTGGCAGCTGTTGAAGATGAACCTAATTAAATGTCTGCATGCTGTGATGGGTTTCTGAAAACAACAAATTAAAAGTACTCACAGCAACAGCTTGAAGGCCTGCTCTTTGAGATGCCTTCATAGAGTCGCGGGCAACAGAGACAATGTAATGTCCTTGCAATAAATCAATTGCATCCTTTGGAGTGGAAAAAATTGCAAAGACTATCAGTATACAGATTCATAAAAATACAGACCACAAGTGAAAAAGCCAAACATATTCTTGTATGTATACACTTCTTAACAACTAGATGTACATCTAACTGTATTTAAAGCTATATAGTAGCAGCCATTATGAATGTGCTCCAAATGAACCATGTACCTGTTTTGTACCATCCCGGAAGTTGTTCAAGTAGTAGCGCATCATGGCATTATAGCCATCATCGACGATCCCTTGGAAAGTTCTTTTACCATATCTGCATATCCAACCCTCAATCAGAATTCCAAAGCTTATAGAGTAAATTAGCAAGAAAGCTCATCAGAGACTCCATTAATGATGTGTAGTCGAGTCAAACAGCACATATTGAAAGAACATTAGCTCTAATATTTCCTCACTAAAGAAAGTACAAGCTTGAAGTATGGTTGTTCAAGACTTCTATAGAAAGATACACAATTAGTTACCTGACAAAATCTCCCTTTAAAGCAGGAGTTCCAGAATATTGAGTACTTATATCATCGCCATGATTAGCCCACACTGAAGACAAAATTTAGAGGGTGAAAAGTAAAACAGAAGAATGTGCAACATATAGAAAGCATCTACATACTGGAAAAAAGCATTAGTCACAACAGTAGTCAAGTACTCACAGACTTTGAAGTTCTCATCAAGGTTGGGGTGGGTGCTAATGGTTTCTTCAGCATTAAAAACACCAAGCCTTCTGAGTTGGAATTCCAACAATTTCCTACCAACCATGCTCTGCAAACATGGTTATAGAACTTTTCTTTGAGGAGAGATAGAGAGTCATGATCTTAACCATGAAAATATCTTGGAATTTCAACTACATATATCAAGTGAACCAGAAGAATATCTCAAAGATGACAGAAGGTGCCCCCCCAAGGATTCAATATCATATATAAATAGAATAGTGTAAATGTGATTACATATTAACCTCCAAAGTGAAGTTCAGTCAACGAAATGTAGGGTGTATGCTTAACTTGAGGGAACACTTGGAAGTGCAAGAATAAGATATTGATTGTGGAGAAACATATATGGAAATCAGTTTGTGAGTCAAGTAAATAATAATAATAACAATACTCACATATCAGTATATCACCTTCTGTATTTTGCCATCATAAAAGATGATATCGTGTTTTTCAAAGGAGAAAACATACCTGACTGACATTTGTTCGATCTAAGCAATCTATGCAATTAGTCCTCACAATTCCAAGTTGCGCCTCAAGTTTCTCAGCTTTTTCATTCAGTAGAAAGTACCTTAACATAAAAATAAACATACACGTCAATATAGCAAGGGCCTCTGGCTATATAAAATCAAGAAGCTCCAGAGAAGGATCTGCTTTACATGCATACTCTAGCATATATAGTCCGTTGAATAGTTAAGATCATATATTGGTGATCTGCACTAAGGCTTCTACGGGCTTGGAAATGATAAATATTTTTTCAGATATGCACATTAGTTTCTATATGAGAAGAGTATGTACCTGTTTTTGGTGAGGAAACTCTCGATTTGATCATAAAGTATGGAGAGGTTCTCAAAATGAACATGTCCACATATGTGATGAAAATCAAAGTGCAAGTATCTACAAAGATTGTATGGTATTAGCATGGATTGCTGCAAGTTACTTCATACAATTAAACTCTCATTAGAAAGATGTCCTACTTCACATCATCACTAGCAAGATGCTGCATTGCACCACTGAACTTTTCACTTAAGCGTCCCTCTGCTCCATGCTGTTACACAATTGAAAAAAGGCAGACAACTAAATCAAATCATTCTATTTTTCTGGAGAGAAACAATAAAGCTTAAATGTAGTCTGCATTTTCAAGTATCAGTGACATGTTCCATTCATTTAATCATTTTCCAAGTGAACTGCCTTCTGTTTTCCTTGATCTGTTATACAGATTTATCATTCTGATGGAGTAAAAGTCGTATTGCATTTCCTTGAGGTTGAACAACTGTAACATTTTCTGTTTTCCCCACTCAAATACTGCATCATCTTCTTCTGTTCCTAAATATCAATACAATGACTGAATGGAAAATGACTAAGCATGATCAAGAACACACTTAAACCTCATGTAATTATACCAGATGAAAGTTTGATGTGTATGGACATACTATTGATCATCTAGATAGTTCTACTACTCTCCACTAAAAAAGTGAAACCAGGCCAAACATATTGGCAAAGCTAATAGCAAGAGTAAGAGATTATAATTATGTACCGTATTGACAAGATCAATGACTATCACATTTCCATATTTCTTTCTCAGATCAAAAAAGTGCCGCTCAATCACTCGAGGCTGCATGTGTTATATAAAATAAATTACTAAGACGAAGAGGTGACTAATGAGTAAAAATTAAGAGACAACATTCTGCTACTCACTACTTCCTCTTGTCTGACTGTCTCAAACTTGGGCTTATATGTTAAATCAACAATCTGATCCCACAGTAAAGGGATTGACCCTCGGATCTACAAAAGGAAATCCAAAGAGTAGAGTCACATGTAATAATGTGAGATTATTAATAGATTCAACAAACTATGAACTATGCATGCAATTTTAGAAAAATTAACCAGCAATAAACTTTTTCACTGAATTATCTGTTAAAGAACAAGCCTATAATCCATATGGACAGAACTAATGCAAGTTCAAGCGGCATAGGACTAGATAATTTAGCACCTTATAGTTAAACATACGTTGTTTCAAATTTCTAGCTGCTGATACAGTCATACACTCATACAGCAGAAAGATTGCCACATCACAATTTCAATATACAAACATACTGGACCATGCTCTTTTTATAACAGGAAGCTTGCAACTTATGATAAGTCCAACTTGAAAGCTGTTGCATTTTCAATAGAGAAAGTCTACCTGGACAAACGATGCTGTGAATCCATTAATTTGCATGATTTGTTCACTTTCCACAAAATTTGCGACATATCCATCAGAATCAGCCCCTCTTCTCCAAAGCCGCGTGCCTAAATTAATGGTTCATATAGGAAATCAAGACTGTATCTTTACTGAACAATAATTCCAATCATGTGATTGAAGTATAAATAATTTGCCAATGGCTACTTTGTGAAAGCAGATGTCTCACTTTCTATCATTTTCAGCCTAGTGAATATGTATCATAGCTCATTGGTGTTATCACTTTCATCATTTATTTATATTTTAAAGGCAGGGAGAATAATTAAAAATAAATTTTAGGCTCTTAAATACCAGTTCTTCTATTGCACCTTCGTGCAATCAGTGTAATATCAATAATGTCTTTTCCAATGGCTGCTTGAAAGTTGTTAAAACCTGATGGTAAGTTAAGGCATAACTTTGAACAGAATACATGACAACCCACCATACTGAACAGTGACAGAAATATAAGGCTATATAAAGAACCAAAACTTAATTAGAAAACATGGATACTGCCCTGGACAACAGGTAGCAAGAAGGGGTCGAGCTGCAAAAGAAATATGGTGTATTCAGTGAGTTATAGATATAGATGGGGATTTGGTGCATTTAAGGGAATGATTTGACCTTGCTATCTATAAGAGCCTCCATTATATAGTTGTTCCAAATAAACCGAGGGTCTGCCTGTGATACACCAAAGACGAATTTGGAATTGAATATCACAATATCAAGGTTTCAGGTGAAATCTCATCAATGCCATCAAGCAAAGCGGCCAAGGATCAAATAGATACATGGCAATAGAAATAATGCTGCCTACTTCACAAAATTGAATGACATAGTTTAAGGAATCAAAACTATGTGACAGCAAAAAGGCTAACCTGTCTCCAAAGAGGAAGCATTTTAGATTCACCCAAATCATATAATCGCTGAGCACTGCAATACAAATTGCAAGTTTCTGACTGTAATGAAAATAGCACATACAGGTATTGTCCAACAAATACTTAAACATCACAACAGTCCTACTAAATAACAAGTAGAAGAGCTACAAAAATAGAATTATTGAAAGGAGTCAACATAATTATTTATTATTCTTTCTTTTCAGTTATTCTTACAAATGATAACTAAGTACACCTGCAAATTAAACAAAGAATGAGATAAGGGTTTGCTCTCCAAGCCTTGGCTCCCTTTTATCCACCATAACTAGACATCAAATAGTATTAAGATGAATATAAAAAAGAATGTGTCACATCACATGACTATGCAGAAGAAATTAATGTAATCACTAATTTCTTAAGAATTCTACATGAGCTAGAGCACAGGTCAGATATGCAGATGCTTAGCTCAATTATCAAAGGTACAACAACTTTCAGGGAGTGAACACTTTTCCCAAATAACCTGGCAAAACATTGCTAGTTTCAGGTGAAACAAATTTGTCCACGTATAAAGCTTCATGAAAATCAAAATCGTTGTTCTTAATTCATCATCAGTTCAAAGATACTCATAAATCACTCTCATGCATTAGTATGTAACTCTAGATAGATATACATAAATCTTTCAAGTGGCATAAGCTAACAAAAATTTAAAGAACAAGGAAAAAGTGATGCCTTATAAGTTATAAATATCAAAGCAATAGTCACCTCAGTGTTATATTGACATCATAAGAGAAGTACAGGCCATGAGTCTTTTCTGCAACATTTAGCAGTGAAATAAATTCTGCCTCCATCTTTTTCTGCCAAAAATTGAAAGCCAATATCAGAACACAGGATAGGCACCATTATAAGAAGCTTCAAGACAACTAAGGATAGGCACCATTCTAAGAAGCTTCAAGACAACAAGAGTAGTTGAAAGGAGTAGTAGAAACCAACCTGTTCCATAGGAGAGTTCTTGAGAGAATGATCACAAGGTAAAACCTTCAACGATGTGACTTTATAAATAGGATGCCCAATGTAAGAACCAACACATTCGCGTTCTGTTATAACTATTAAGTACGATCCTGAAACCATTCAAAGGTGCAATGCAGTAAGATTTCAAGCTGTAACAATCTCAAATACTTCTTTCATTTTATGTTTATCAAATTACCTTTTCTTCTCTTACAAATATAAATACAAACACAAAGAGTACAAAGAATAATAAGTCCACTATCAGAAACCTATATCCATTAAATGGAAACTGTATATATTTATTGATTTTATATACTGAACATGACTGACTTGCCTGCAACAAGCTTCACCATACCAACAATTCCAAAGATTTTCTTAATTTTAGGAACACGGAGCGAACTGCACTGCGGTATTTCATCTAAAGAAGCAAAAGTGCAGGTAAGATACATAATTAGGTTGATGAAAACAAATTAAAAGCTAGGAAAATATCAAATATCAAATACAATATAGTATTAGCAGTAAGCAGCAAACCGATTAAATTCATAGACGCATCTGCCCTGCTGATCGCCAAACGCGAACCGGAAGATCCATCGGAAGGCTCAATAACGTATTGATCTGGGAACTCCCAGAGCCGCATCTTTGAATACAACTTCGGTGCATGATCTGACTTCTCCATCGTTACGAGAACTCGATTGATCGATCGATCGCTCGCCGCTGGAACTCTAAACACAATAGAAGTAGATTGGTAAACTGTGCTCTTCACATCTCATATTCAAGGCGGAATTTGAGGCATGAATGACGCGTATAATCATTCAAAGCAACAAGCAAGTACAGATTATTGGGGATTGGATTGTGATGTATGCACAGTAAAACTCAGAAAACGGCGGAGAATGTAGTGCAACGCCCACTGGTATACTATTTTTTGGGGGGAAAGACTCCAACGGCATTGAATGAAGGAAGGAGCAGACCCGCAAACACCGCCTACTATTAACGGAAATACCCAACTCCTACCACACATCTCGCACACTCATCACACTACCTATGTGTTTTTTTTGTTTTTTATTTTTATTTTTATTTTTTTTAATAAGTTGGATTTGCCAAAGATTTTTGAATCAATTAGATAAACCTGTGCGAGCAACAAAATACTTAAATACTAATACTAATATAGGTTATGTTTGGCAAACCTAACTGAAAAGGTAGCTGAAAGCTTAAAAGTTATAAGATAGGAACTGATAAATGAAGAGTTGTTAAGCTAGTTGTTATGCTTTAAAGTGTTTAGTAAAATTAGTTGTTTGATAAACTGATAAATGTAAAAAAACTAAAAATGACATCTTCATAAAATTTAAATTAGTTTGTTTACATATTAAAATTTAACATTTTGCCTTCAAAAAAATTAACATTTTAAAATAAAACTATTAGCATAATCACGATCTAGCATCTCATAACATCTTCATCCTATTCATAATACATATTAGATAATCAATCTTAAAATAATAATAATAATTAGGAAAAAGGGTCAAATAGGCCCTCAAACATTTGTTAAAGAGTCACTTAGCCCCTCCAACTTTTTAAAGGTGCAATTACACTCATAAACAATGCATTTTGATGCAATGAAGCCCAAATACAGGTAAATGACCTGCTAGCATACGTCATTGAAGATCTGACAATTTTTTGACGTATTCCGACGTATTTTACGGCAAAAAATGACCGGCGACCGTCGAAAGGTCACCGGTGACAAACTCCGATGACCACTGTGGTCACCTTCTCGCCGGAAAAGGCAACCCAGATTTGGGTTGCCTTCTCCGGTCGAGAAGGCCACCATTACCCACCATTGTGGTGGCCATCTCCGGGGAGAAGGTGACCACAGTGGTCACCGGAGTCCGCAATCGCCGGTTACTTTTTTGCTTGAAAATTCGCCGAAAAATACGTCAGAAAATAGTCGGATCTTCGATGACCTATGATAGCAGGTCATTTACCTGTATTTAGACTTCATTGCATCAAAATGCATTGTTTATGGGTGTAATTTCACCTTTAAAAAGTTTAAGGGGTTAATTGACTCTTTAGCAAATGTTGGTGGGCTTATTTGACCCTTTTCCCTAATAATAATAATAATAATAATAATAATAAAGGATAAAGGTGCGGATAAAGGATTTGTCATTTCTTTAAAATGTTTAATAATAATAATAAATGATTTGTAGTGAAAATTGCAGATAAAGGAGAAGTAAAGAGTTTTAATTGGGTTGGACTTCCATTTGAAAGATTATGAGTTCAAGCCTCAGTGGAGGCGTTATTGGTTCTTTGTGTTTCAGTAGGTTGAGAAAGTATATGAACAGATACTACAATGTAATAGAGCCAGTAACTTTCAAAAAAAAAAAAAAAAAAAAAAAAAGAGTTTTAATTGGGAAGGGCAAATGATATTGTTTCTTTAAAATAATAAGGATAAAAATGAAAAAAAAAAAAAAAAGTTAAGAAGTTACTAGCTTATTTTGAAACGCTGCTACCTAAGGTAGTGTTCCAAAATAAGCTCTTATTTTAAGAACTACAAGCTTATTTTGTGAACATTACCAAACAGAGCTTATAACGTATTAGTAGCTTAGAATAAGTTATAAGCTCCTAAATAAGCTATGTCCAACAGAGCCATAATGTTATTCTACTATTTATACAAAAATGTACAAAATAAATTGTCAAATAAGTCATTAAACTTATTGAAATATTTTTCTAATTGAATTATCAAACAAGTAAAATACGTGCAATTGAAATAATTTTGTAATTTTTCGTCATTGTTACATGGTATGTACTGAGGGTTGCATTTTTCACTGTCATGTTAATTGGGATGACAAATTGAAATGTATTCAAATCAAATTGCACTTAAATAATTTTTTTTAAAAAAACATTCAATTACACATATTATACTTGTTTAATTATTTAATTGGCATGTTTTCTAATTTTTCGTTGTTACATGGTATGTACTGATAATTACATTTTTCTCTGGCATGTTTTTTTTTTTTAAATGACATCTAACATATCCCTTTGAAACTAATTTGGATTTGACCAAGTTACGGTAGCAGAGTATAAGATACGGAGTAACAAACTTCTTTCTTGGAGAAATATTGAAAGAAAAACTGCAGAAGAAAGGTGTATATATGTTTGTGTGGTTACTGAGGAACTAAGGAAGTATTTGCAGTGGGGACTTCCATATTATAATTCAACACTCTTATTACACAAAACTCAACATCATATCATATCATCATCATTGTATTCAAGCAAAAAAGAAAACCCAAAAATATATATGTATGTGTCCTTGTAATGTGATGGACGGCCTGGATTACAGACAGATTAGCTAGCAGCTAAAATCAAGAATCAGAAGATCAGAGATCAACCCCCTTCAACAGCTTCTTCACATGTTTGGCCTCATGTTCAGCCTGGAAGCAATCTTCTGTCCCAAGGATTTATCAGCCTGCATACACAACCACAACAACATAGCATCAATGAATCTTGTTTTCACCCATTAAGATTGTTGAGCATATAACTATTAATGTGCAATCCAACTATCAGCTTAGGCTTTTAGTTGAGATAGTACACATGCTTCAATTTAGTATCAGTGCCAAACTGAAAGTCATAGGTTCGAATCTCTACGTCACCCAATAAGTGGTCTAGTTTTTACTTCTGATGGATATGATATATTATATGAAGAGTAGGTAAGGATGGATACAGACCTGAGACCAGTACGAGATCCAAATACTGCGAATCTCATAAGTAATTCTTGGATCAGACAAGGCATCAACCCAGCGGCAGATAAACCTCTCCTGCCTGAACAAGAAGACATGACAGACAGACAAGGTTAATTAAACAACGTGCAATAATGGGTTCTTAGTATTACATTAACCAGCAGAAATTCTTAATGGATATGGAGGAAGTACAGTAGAGAATATATATATATATATATATATACATACCTGTCTGGTGAGAATGAACGGTATCTCTCCCCAGGTTGCTTGAAATTGTTCTCCTTCCCAATCACACACTGTCACAGGAAACATATTTATCAAGAAACAAGAATTATCGTAATCTATTTGCATGATTTTTGCCCACAAGACCAAATTCCATCACCCTCAAGGCCAAATTGACACCCTAGTTCAATAAGATAGTGGTGTGTAAATTACTGAATTATAATAATTTAACAGTCCACTAGGTGGGATGACAACAATTATACCATGGACGGGGTCCACCTTACAAGGTGGACTCAGGTTCAAAATACACAAATGTTCACAATTTGAATCGTGAACATTTAGTATGTAAAATTGTGAACTTTAATATATAAATTGTGTATTTCTGGATTCGGGTCCATCTTGCAAGGTGGATCCAAGTCCAAATAATATTTTGTCGTGGGATGACTAGTTGTTTGGTGCTCCTACGGAGCCCATCATAATAAGTGTTGCAAATTATATCGTGAATCCGGGTTCACCTTCCGGTTCAGAAACTAAACACTAATATGTTAAAAAATTATTAATATTCAAAAATTAGATACTATATGTTGGCACTACAACATTCACTTTGTTACATGTTTGTCGTTCAGAAACTCAAAAATTAATATGCATAAACTAGACAGTATATGTTCATAAACTCAAAGTTTAATACTGCTATTGTTTTGGACGAGGACCCACATTATAAGATGGACCGTTATCCACATATATAACTATATATTGAATCAACAAGAATTTTAGTAGTACATTACATACCTTCTCACGTTTGCCAGTGCAGACTGCAGCAGGAGTTGGGTACCTCTCAGCGTGCCTCACAGGATCATACCTCGAAGGGAAGTAATCAATCTGAAACCAATTCAAATCACAACAAAATTAAACACTGCAAAATGGGCATTCATATAAACATACATTCTTGATTATCCTGCAAACAATATAATGCAAGAACTGAAGCTCACCTCTTCGTCTCTGTGCATGAAGTTCATGGACCCATCATAGTGATTGTTGTGCATGGAACACTTGGGAGCATTCGCCGGCAGCTGCAGATAGTTGGGGCCGAGCCGGTACCTCTGGGTATCGGAATAGGAGAAGATCCGAGTCTGCAGCAGCTTATCGTCGGAATAATAGATTCCGGGCACCACAATCGACGGGCAAAATGCCAGCTGCTCGTTCTCGTTGAAGAAATTATCAATGTTCTTGTTCAAAACCAGGCGACCCACCGGCTGCAACGGCACCAGATCCTCCGGCCAGGTCTTGGTCACGTCGAGCGGGTCAAAATCGAAGTTGTCTTCGAAGTCAGGGTCGATGGTCTGAATGAAAAGCTTCCACTCCGGGTAGTTTCCGGCGGCGATGGAGTCGTACAGATCCTGAGTGGCGTGGCTGTGGTTCGCGCCGCCCACCTGTAAACACATAAATATCACCCATAAAAAGCATATTAAATGCACAATTCACACATGTTTCAATTTGATATCATAATTAATTGAGAAAATTATGATTCACTATTTAGAGCCTATTAAAAAGTATTCCCATATGAGGAATGTGTTAAGGATATAATAACAAAAATCGGGTTAGATACTCACCTAAGCACCCCAAGGTCGAACAATTTTTAGTCTAGGCAGCTTTTAGTCAACCGAATTGGACGCCTAACTAGACTGAGTCAATGACAAATTTGAATGAGTGGTTTTTTAGCATGTTTAACTACTTTTCTTTTATATTTCTACAGTCATGTACTCAATTAACCATCTAACATATGCAATTAACTAGTTTGGAAAAGTGAAGACCATATACGAAAATTACATGACTGCCTAGGCACCCCGAGCGTCCGACTAGTGCCTAACGTGTTCTGTAATATTATATAATATACAGTATTATAAAAATCAACTTAAGCTACCGCTTAGGTGCTAAGCGCTCTGGGCCGATGCAAAAATGGAGGTAGGCCATTGTTAGTCGGCCAACTCTACTCCAAACGTGGTCGAGTCAGGTGAAACTTTTTTTTTTAATTGGTGTTGAGGGGATTTTTATTTTTATTTTTTTTTCAATTAGGCGGT